ATGTGGGGACCTGTATGAAAGCCCCCTAAGCTTATTTCTACCAGCTTAGGTTAAAAACTTCCCCAAGGCACAAATCCTTTGTCCTTGGATGGTACGCTGCCACCACCAAGTGATTTAGACAAAAATCAGGGAAAGGACCACTTGCCGTGGTGGGGAGAGGCATCCCTATTCCCCCAAAATATCCCCCCCAAGCCCTACACCCCACTCCTGGGAAGGCTTGAGAATAACATACCAACCAAATAGGTAAACCAGATTCTTAAAAAACTGAACTTTATTATAAAGAAAAAAAAGTAAAAGAAGCACTTCTGTAAAATCAGGATGGAAGGTAACTTTACAGAGTAATCAGATTCAAAACACAGAGGATTCCCCTCTAGGCAAAACTTTGAAGTTACAAAAAACAGGATAAACCTCCCTCTTAGCACAGGGAAAATTCACAAGTTGAAAACAAAAGGTAATCTAATGCGCCCTGCCTTATTTACTTACTCTTTTTGCAATATTGAGACTCACTTTAGGATGGTTTATAGGAGGAGTAGTTTTCTGACCTGGTGCTTCTCTGCTTCCCAAGAGAACACACACACAAAGAGTACAAACAAAGCCTTCCCCCCCATCTCCAGATTTGAAAGTATCTTCTTTCCCCATTGGTCCTTTTGGTCACGTGCCAACCAGATTATTTGAGCTTCTTAACCCCTTACAGGTAAGAAGGAATTCTAGGCTACCCTTAGCTGTATGGTTATGACAGGCTCACAGCTGGGGCAGGAGTTTGGGGTTTGGGAGGGGATGTAGGCTCCAGCTGGGATGTGGGCTCTGGGGTGGGGCCAGGATGAGGGGTTTGGAGTGCAGGAGGGGGCTCAGGGCTGGGGTGAAGGAGGAGGTGTGGGCTGCAGGCTATGGAAGGAGGCTCAGGGCAGAGGTGCAGGCTCTGAGAGGAAGTTATGGTGCAGGAGGGGGTGAAGAGCTGGAGTAGGGGGTTGGGATGCAGGAGTAGGTTCCAACCTAAGTTCCCTCTAAGCTGCTCAGCCATGCAGCAACCTATTAAGCACCGTGCAAGCGCTCAGGGCTGTGGGGGGAGAGCCCTAGCCCCAACCCTCAACCCACCCCAGTCACAGACGTGCCACAGCTGGGTGAGAGGCACCCCTCCCCTGGCCCCAACCCAGCCTCAGCCGTGTGGCAGTCGTGGGAGAGGTGCTTCTCCTGTGGCATCAAATCAGCCCCAGCCTGGACTTGCCGTGGTGGGGAGAGGCACCCCTCCCTCCCACCCCAGGTGCTGCGGTGGGAAGGGAGAGTTTGGGGGGGAGTTCTCTCTCCCCGTTGCAACCTCGGGGCAGCCTGCACCCCAAACTCCTCATCCCTGGCCCCACAAATGCAAAAAATGGATTGAAAAAAGAGCCAAACATCATGCATGCCAAGTGTTCAACAGGAGTCTCCACATTCTTGTGTGACATTTACTCATGACCTTGCTTCTTGCAGATCGGACTATACAGCCACAAGAGAACACAGGAGATATCATTATGTCATTGTAAAATATCACGGACAGCCATACACATGTGACCTTAGGAATACCATTTTATAGGGAGTGGGAGGACCTGTGCGGGTAGAGTTCCTCTCCTTTTACATTTATTTCTTCAGATTAAAGGGACACTTTCAACTTGAAATCTAATCAATTTAATTAAATTAAAAATAGTTGCAGGTCCTACACCTGCCACTTTATGGTTTCATAAATCACATTTTCTAATACTTTTGTGTTTTCTCTCCCCTCAGCTGTGTGCAAGATCCACACAAACACCAGGGTAAACTGACTAATAGACTATTTAGGGGGAGAAATATAGAAATAACTATACACAAAGCTCTGCCCAATGCATAAAATAAACTGAAAAAATGTAGAGGAAAACATATTTTTCTGTAAGTTCAGTTATAGCAATCTAATTATTACTAGTAACAGAATAGTAGTAAGGAAATGTGTGATTTTAAGGAGATGGTATTCCCTGAAATTTAAGAACAAATTTAATGCAGTTGTCTGAGCTGGTAAAATTTCACATTTTGTTTTTATTTGAACCAAAATCAAAAGTTTGTTAGGAATTGTTTTTCATTAATGGAGTGTGGTTCCCAGCCTGCAGTCCCTCCTATTTTCTTAATATGTCTAGCCGAGCACTGAGGTATTTTGTAACCAACATATCTTTTGCAAATGGATGAAGTAAAGCACCTGTAACACCAGGACCCTTATACGGAGCTTTTTGAGACAAAAGTATTATTATTTTTATTGCAGTGGCACTAAAATATATGTTAGGTGCTCTACAGATTTAGAAAAAGACAGTCCTTTCTTGAAAGCCCTTGCAATCTAAACAGGTGAACACAACATACAAGCAAAGTGGTCTTGGTGACAAAAGGGACACGGCTTGCTAGTTCCTTGTTTTTATAAATAAAAACAAAATAAATATTATTGTTGACTCATTTTTGAAGTCATTGTGGTATAAATGGGTCTTAAAGGTCTTGTCTAGACCAGTATTTAAGGTTTGATGTTCAAGTGCTAAGACATTTTACAAGTATATATAGTCAAGGCATGCTGCCTTTCATAGGGGTTAAACTGGGCAAGTAAAGTGGACTTAAATCCTATTGAAGTGATTGGAAGTTAAGCACCTGCTTAAATGTTTTGGTGAACAGGGATGCGATTACTCACATTTCAGATTAAGCACATGAGTAAGTGCTTTGTGGAATTAAAGCCAATAGGAATATCCTTTTAACTCTGAAACATTGTATAAATAGAATGCTTCTACTTTAAGGAGTATGCTAGAGGCTGGTAAAATGCCTGGTTTGTATGAAAAATAGGAAAATGTATACAAAGATTAAACAGGTTAAAGGGCTGGGAGCTCCCTCCTCTTGTTTCTGCATACTCTCCCACTCCCTTAAATTTCTATGCTATAAAATGGCAAATATCTTTTTATGAGAATACAGTAAAGTCACTTATAAGGGACATATTCTTTTTCTACTGAAAAATGGGCATGCAGTAATTCATGTACATAAATACTTATCACTATGTCAGATTCAAATCAAGATTTTTGCGTGTTTTTTTAAAGTCTGAGCAGCTGCCAACATTCAACCTATTTATCATTTTTATCTGAATTCACCTGGGATGATTTATACACTTCTGTGGTTTACCACACCTTGAATACTGCGTGGAGTGCTGGCCACTCCATCTCAAAAAGATATATTAGACTTGGAAAAGGTACAGAGAAGGGCAACAAAAATTATTAGGGGTATGGAACAGCTTCCATATGAGGACTGGGACTATTCATCTTACAAAAGAGATGACTAAGGGGAGATATGGTAAAGGTTTATAAAACCATTAATTGTGTGGAGAAAAAGAAGAAAGTGTTATTTACCCCTTCACATAACACAAGAATTAAGATCACCCAATGAAACTAATAGGCAGCAAGTTTACAATAAACATAAGTACTTCATACAACAACCATCAACCTGTGGTACTTGTTGCCAGGAGATATGAAGGCCAAAAGTGTAACTGGGTTAAAAAAAGAATTAGGTATGTTCAGGGAGGATAGGTCCATCAATGGCAATTAGCCAAGGTGATCAGGGACACAACCCAGTGCTCCGGGTATTCCTAAACTTCTAACTGCCAGAAGCTGGGACTGGACAACAGGGGATGGATCATTCATTAATTTCCCTGTTCTGTTCATTTCTTCTGAAGCATCTGGCACTGGCTGCTGTCAGAAGACAGGATACCGAGCCAGATGGACCATGTCATACTCACGTGATTGAAGAACGGTCATGGATGGGTATAAACTGTTCAGGAAGGACAGGCCGGGAAGAAAAGGTGGAAGAGTTGCACTGTATGTAAGAGAGCAGTAGGATTGCTCAGAGCTCCAGTATTAAACTGGAGAAAAGCCTGTTGAGCGTCTTTGGGTTAAGTTTAGAGGCGAGAGCAACAAGGGTGATGTCGTGGTGAGCATCTGCTATAGACCACCAGACCAGGAGGATGACGTAGACGAAGCTTTCTTTGGACAACTAACAGAAGTTTCCAGATCACAGGCCCTAGTTCTCCTGGGGGTCTGACATCTGCTGGGAGAGCAATACAGCAGTGCACAGACAATCCAGGAAGTTTTTGGAGAGTGTTGGGGACAACTTCCTGGTGCAAGTGTTGGACAAACCAGCTGGGGGCCATGCTCTTAGAATCATACAATCATAGAATATCAGGGTTGGAAGGGACCTCAGGAGGTCATCTAGTCCAACCCCCTGCTCAAAAGCAGGACCCATACCCAATTAAATCATCCCAGCCAGGGCTTTGTCAAGCCTGACCTTAAAAACTTCTAAGGAAGGAGATTCCACCACCTCCCTAGGCAACGCATTCCAGTTTTTCACCACCCTCCTAGTGAAAAAGTTTTTCCTAATATCCAACCTAAACCTCCCCCACTGCAACTTGAGACTATTACTCCTTGTCCTGTCCTCTTCCACCACTGAGAATAGTCTAGAACCATCCTCTCTGGAACTACCTCTCAGGTAGTTGAAAGCGGCTATCAAATCCCCCCTCATTCTTCTCTTCTGCAGACTAAACAATCCCAGTTCCCTCAGCCTCTCCTCATAACTCATGTGTTCCAGACCCGTAATCATTTTTGTTGCCCTTCGCTGGACTCTCTCCAATTTATCCACATCCTTCTTCTAGTGTGGGGCCCAAAACTGGACACAGTACTCCAGATGAGGCCTCACCAATGTCGAATAGAGGGGGACGATCACGTCCCTCGATCTGCTCGCTATGCCCCTACTTATACATCCCAAAATGCCATTGGCCTTCTTGGCAACAAGGGCACACTGCTGGCTCATATCCAGCTTCTCGTCCACTGTCACCCCTAGGTCCTTTTCCGCAGAACTGCTGCCTAGCCATTCGGTCCCTAGTCTGTAGCTGTGCATTGGGTTCTTCCGTCCTAAGTGCAGGACCCTGCACTTATCCTTATTGAACCTCATCAGATTTCTTTTGGCCCAATCCTCCAATTTGTCTAGGTCCCTCTGTATCCTATCCCTGCCCTCCAGCGTATCTACCACTCCTCCCAGTTTAGTATCATCCGCAAATTTGCTGAGAGTGCAATCCACACCATCCTCCAGATCATTTATGAAGATATTGAACAAAACCGGCCCCAGGACCGACGCCTGGGGCACTCCACTTGACACCGGCTGCCAACTAGACATGGAGCCATTGATCACTACCCGTTGAGCCCGACAATCTAGCCAACTTTCTACCCACCTTATAGTGCATTCATCCAGCCCATACTTCCTTAACTTGCTGACAAGAATACTGTGGGAGACCGTGTCAAAAACTTTGCTAAAGTCAAGAAACAATACATCCACTGCTTTCCCTTCATCCACAGAACCAGTAATCTCGTCATAGAAGGCGATTAGATTAGTCAGGCATGACCTTCCCTTGGTGAATCCATGCTGACTGTTCCTGATCACTTTCCTCTTATGTAAGTGCTTCAGGATTGATTCTTTGAGGACCTGCTCCATGATTTTTCCGGGGACTGAAGTGAGGCTTACTGGCCTGTAGTTCCCAGGATCCTCCTTCTTCCCTTTTTTAAAGATTGGCACTACATTAGCCTTTTTCCAGTCATCCGGGACTTCCCCCGTTCACCACAAGTTTTCAAAGATAATGGCCAATGGCTCTGCAATCACAGCCGCCAGTTCCTTTAGCACTCTCGGATGCAACTCGTCCGGCCCCATGGACTTGTGCACGTCCAGTTTTTCTAAATAGTTCCTAACCACCTCTTTCTCCACAGAGGGCTGGCCATCTCTTCCCCATGTTGTGATGCCCAGCACAGCAGTCTGGGAGCTGACCCTGTTCGTGAAGACAGAGGCAAAAAAAGCATTGAGTACATTAGCTTTTTCCACATCCTCCGTCACTAGCTTGCCTCCCTCATTCATTAAGGGGCCCACACTTTCCTTGGCTTTCTTCTTGTTGCCAACATACCTGAAGAAACCCTTCTTGTTACTCTTAACATCTCTCGCTAGCTGCAGCTCCAGGTGCGATTTGGCCCTTCTAATTTCATTCCTACATGCCCGAGCAATATTTTTATACTCTTCCCTGGTCATACGTCCAACCTTTCACTTCTTGTAAGCTTCTTTTTTATGCTTAAGATCTGCTAGGATTTCACCGTTAAGCCAAGCTGGTCGCCTGCCATATTTACTATTCTTTCGACACATCGGGATGGTTTGTCCTTGTAACCTCAACAGGGATTCCTTGAAATACAGCCAGCTCTCCTGGACTCCTTTCCCCTTCATGTTAGTTCCCCAGGGGATCCTACCCATCCGTTCCCTGAGGGAGTCGAAGTCTGCTTTCCTGAAGTCCAGGGTCCGTATCCTGCTGCTTACCTTTCTTCCCTGTGTCAGGATCCTGAACTCAACCAACTCATGGTCACTGCCTCCCAGATTCCCATCCACTTTTGCTTCCCCTACTAATTCTTCCCGGTTTGTGAGCAGCAGGTCAAGAAAAGCTCCCCCCCAGTTGGCTCCTCTAGCACTTGCACCAGGAAATTGTCCCCTACGCTTTCCAAAAACTTCCTGGATTGTCTATGCATCGCTGTACTGCTCTCCCAGCAGATATCAGGAAAATTAAAGTCACCCATGAGAACCAGGGCATGCGATCTAGTAGCTTCCGCGAGCTGCCGGAAGAAAGCCTCATCCACCTCATCTCCCTGGTCCGGTGGTCTATAGCAGACTCCCACCACTACATCACTCCTGTTGCTCACACTTCTAAACTTAATCCAGAGACACTCAGGTTTTTCTGCAGTATCGTACCGGAGCTCTGAGCAGTCATACTGCTCCCTTACATACAGTGCTACTCCCCCACCTTTTCTGCCCTGCCTGTCCTTCCTGAACAGTTTATAACCATCCATGACAGTACTCCAGTCATGCGAGTTATCCCACCAAGTCTCTGTTATTCCAATCACCTCATAATTCTTTGACATCACCAGGACCTCCAGTTCTCCCTGCTTGTTTCCAAGGCTTTGTGCATTCGTATATAAGCACTTGAGATAACCTGCTGATCGCCCCTCATTCTCAGTATGAGGCAGGAGCCCTCCCCTCACAGACATTCCTGCCTGTGCTTCCTCCCGGTATCCCGCTTTCCCACTTACCTCAGGGCTTTGGTCTCCTTCCCCCGGTGAACCTAGTTTAAAGCCCTCCTCACTAGGTTAGCCAGCCTGGTCGCAAAGATGCTCTTCCCTCTCTTCGTAAGGTGGAGCCCGTCTCTGCCCAGCACTCCTCCTTCATGGAACACCATCCCATGGTCAAAGAATCCAAAGCCTCTCTCCGACACCACCTGCGTAGCCATTCGTTGACTTCCACTATTCGACGGTCCCTACCCAGGCCTTTTCCTTCCACGGGGAGGATGGACGAGAACACCACCTGTGCCTCAAACTCCTTTATCCTTCTTCCCAGAGCCACGTAGTCCGCAGTGATCCACTCATTCTTGGCAGTATCATTGGCAGTATCATCTTCTTGACCTGCTGATCACAAAAAGGGAAAAATTGGTAGGGGAAGTAGACGTGGGTGGCAACCTGGGCAGCAGTGACCATGAGATGGTTGAGTTCAGGATCCTGACATAAGGAACAAAGGAGAGCAGCAGAATATGAACCCTGGACTTCAGAAAAGCAGACTTTGACTCCCTCAGGGAACTGACGGGCAGGATCCCTTGTGAGGCTAATATGATGGGGAAAAGGAGTCCAGGAGAGCTGGCTGTATTTTAAAGAAGCGATATTGAGGGCACAGGAACAAATCATCCCGATGTGCAGAAAGAAGAGCAAATATGGCAGGTGACCAGCTTCACTTAACAGAGAAAACTTCGGTGAGCTTAAACACAAAAAGGAAGCTTACAAGAAGTGGAAACTTGGAGACATGACTAGGAAGGAGTATAAAAATATTGCTTGAGCATGAAGGGGTGTAATCAGGAAGGCCAAAGGACAATTGGAGATGCAGCTAGCAAGGGATGTGAAGGTTAACAAAAAGGGTTTCTACAGGTACATTAACAACAAGGTGGTGGTCAGGGAAAGTGTGGGACTCTTACTGAATGGGGGAGGCAACCTACCGACAGAGGATGTGGAAAAAGCTGAAGTACTCAATGCTTTTTTTGCCTTGATCTTCACAGACAAGGTCAGCTCCCAGACTGATGCACGGGGCAGCACAGTATGGGGATGAGGTGAGCAGCCCTCAGTGGTGAAAGAACAGGTTAAGGACTATTTAGAAAAGCTGGACATACACAAGTCCATGAGGCTGGATGCAATGCATCCAAGGGTGCTGAGGGAGTTGGCTGATGTAATTGCAGAGCCATTGGCCATTATCTTTGAAAACTCATGGTGATCGGGGGAGATCCCAGATGAAAAAGGCAAATAAAGTGCCCATCTTTAAAAAAGGGAAGAAGGAGAATCTGGGGAACTACAGACCGGTCAGCCTCACCTCAGTCCCTGGAAAAATCATGGAGCATGTCCTCAAGGAATCCATTTTGAAGCACTTGGAGGAGAGGATGGTGATCAGGAACAGTCAACATGGATTCACTAAGGGCAAGTCACGCCTGACCAACCTGATTGCCTTCTATGATGAGATAACTGGCTCTATGGATAAAGGGAAAGTGGTAGACACGATAGATCTAGACTTTAGCAAAGCTTTTGATACAGTCTCCCACAGTATGCTTGCCAGCAAGTTAAAGAAGTATGGACTGGATGAATGGACTGTAAGGTGGAGAGAAAGCTGGCTAGATCATTGGGCTCAACAGGTAGCGATCAACAGCTCGCTGTCTAGTTGGCAGCCGGTATCAAGCAGTGTGCCCCAGGGGTCGGTTTTGTTCAACATCTTCATTAACGATCTGGATGATTGGATGGATTGCACCCTCAGGAAATTCGCGGAAGACACGAAGCTGGGGGGGAAGAGGTAGGTATGCTGGAGAGTAGGGATAGGTTCCAGAGTGACTTAGACAAATTGTATTGAGCCAAAAGAAATCGGATGAGGTTCAACAAGGACAAGTGCAGAGTCCTGCACTTAGGGCAGAAGAATCCCATGCACTGCTACAGGCTGGGGACTGACTGGCTAAGCGGTAGTTTTGCAGAAAAGGACCTGGGGATTACAGGGGACAAGAAGCTGGATATGAGTCAACAGTTTGCCCTTGTTGCCAAGAAGGCTAACGGCATAGTGGGCTGCATTAGTAGGAGCATTGCCAGCAAATTGAGGGAGTGATTATTCCCCTCTATTAGGCACTGGTAAGGCCACATCTGGAGTACTGCATCCAGTTTTGGGCCTCCCACTACAGAAAGGATGTGGACAAATTGGAGAGAGTCCAGTGGAGGGCAACAAAAATGATTAGGGAAGCTGGGGCACGTGACTTATGAGTAGAGGCTGAGGGAACAGGGCTTATTTAGTCTGCAGAAGAGAGGCGCGAAGAAGGATTTGATAGCAGCCTTCAACTACCTGAAGTGGGATTCCAAAGAGGATGGAGCTAGGCTCTTTTCAGTGGTGGCAGATGACAGAACAAGGAGTAATGGTCTCAAGTTGCAGTGGGAGAGGTCTAGGTTGGATATTAGGAAAAACTATTTCACTAGGAGGGTGGTGAAGTACTGGACTGGGTTACCTAGGGAGATGGTGGAATCTCTATCCTTAGAGGTTTTTAAAGCCCGGCTTGACAAAGCCCTGGCTGGGATGATTTAGTTGGGGTTGGTCCTGCTTTGAGCAGGGGATTGGACTAGATCATGTCCTGAGGTCTCTTCCAATCCAAATCTTCTATGATTCTATGATTCATTGGACAGACCCACTATGGCTATTATTCTATGCATTCCAAGAAAAAGGGTGAATCAGAGTTGTGCTACTTCCTTTACAGATTTTCTCATAGCTTTCCTGTATAGTAGCAGTATACCCGGTCTACATTTCAAAATAACTCTTTGACAGAGAGGCAGGTCAACATAACCCACCATCCGCAGTGTATGCATAAAGCTCATAAAGGAAAAGGAAACAAGGTTTGAATTCACACAAGATTCATTGCGAATTTACCAGAGGCATGTATAATCTAAAGAAACTAAACCTCGCTGTTTACCTCTGCTGAAGAACAGTAGTTAGGCCGAAGATAGATGTGGCTCTATTTCTCTATTTTCCATGATTAAATATCACATTAAAATAAGACTATTGAAGCTTCAATAAATTACCAGTTTATTCCCACTATAAACTGCTAAGGTACATTTCAATTTTCACTGTTTATACGTTCTGTTGGTCTGATTCTATCCTTGCACACACCAGTGTAAATCCAGAGTAACTCCACTGACTTCAGTAGAAATACTAACCTTTATTAGCCCTTCTTATATAGGCCTAGAACCTGAGGTACAGAGAAGCGCAACTTCTTGTCCCAAATCACACAGCAAGCCTGTGGCAGAGCAAGAAATAGAACCTTGAAGTCTTGACTCCCAGTTCGCTATTCTGGCTATTATTCACAGCTAGAAATAGAACCCAGGAGTCCCAGCACCTAGCCCGCTGGTCTGAAGATTCAAAAACACTCCCCCGTGTCCTTAGCAGCTTCTATGAAGAGATGTAGCAAAGGATGTTGGGGTGCATTTGTGCTGGAAGCAAGCAACTGAGCAGAAACAGGGCCCCATCCTTTCCTTTCAGTGTAAGAAAAAAGGAAGCTGGAGGAAGGATGGCTTGCCAAGCTGAATGCATAGGTGGCAGAGAGAGAAGCCATTGGGACAAGGAGGTACCCAATCGTGCCTTGACCTGCAGGAACCCACTAGCCTAGAGCTCACTCTGCTGACAAGGCCCATTTCACTTTGCAACAGCAATAAATCAGGTATATTGTGTCTCATGTAACAGCAGACAAGCGAGGAAACACAACACACACAAAACCCTGGCATCATAGCCCTCACTTATACCCTGCCATAGCTTCCCACTGAACCCCTCCTGGCACCACAGCTCTCACTTATACCCTGCCATAGCCTCCCGTTGAACCCCTCCTGGCATCACTTGCCCTGCCCTAGTTTCCTAGTGAAACCCCCACTGCACCTACTCCACAGCAGCTCGCTGCATCCGCCCCTCCCACTGAGCGCACAAGGCTTGTCCTTCTCCCCACAGCCCGACCCACGCCCCCACTTGCCTACTCCTCTCCCCCTCACCCCAGCGCTCTGCACGCGCCCGCCCGCCGCACAGCGCAGGTCCCTCTCTCGCACCTGCACCCTCTCTAGGAACCAAACAGCTCATTACATTGTCTTTCCGCTCCAGAACCCAGCAGGCCAATCAGATCACAGGCCAAGGGCGCTCTGACCAACCAGAGAGCCCCCGGCTCTCAATAATCCCCCCCCCCTTCCCCTCGCCTTTAGCCTCCAGTGCTGCGGTTCGGGTTTGGCAGTTGGGGCTGCCGTTGCAGGAGGAGAAGTGGTTTCAGTGCGCAGGCGCGAATGCTGCGTCCGTTTCTCGCCCTGTGAGGAAACCGCGCCGCAGCGAGCGAGCGAGCGATCTTCCGGCGCTGCCTGGGGACTTGGAGGGGTAAGTTGAGGCTCCCGGCTGTGGTAGGGGCGAGCTGGGGGGAGACTGCGCCCCCGCCCCCGGGGAGGTGTATGCAGAGGGGTTTCCCCCTCCCATCTTTTGACAGTAGGGTTGGATTTCCCCCCCATCCCATGTACTGTGCCCGCCCCGCCTGCCGGGCGAGACCCCACCTCATGGGTACCTGGTGGGGGAGTGTCGCCCTCTCCAAGGAGCCCAGCGCCCACCCCGAGTACCTGGCGAGTGAGGTGCACTTACCTCGTCCCCCCCGCGGGTTAGGTGCCTGGCAGGGCGCCCGCCCTTCCTTGCCTGCGGTGCCAGTTGTAGGCAACGCCCTTCACCGAGTCCCGGAGTGTCGCTGGGGGGGCAGGACATATCTGACAGGGGTTCAGTTTCAGCCCGCTGGTAGGGAGCTGCGTTGTGGTGGAAGATAAAGTGGTCCCTGTTCACTGTAGTGTGTATTGGGGGCGCCGCTCTGGGACCCTTTAGAATGAAGGGTGTTAAATAAATGCCGTGTCTCCGGCAAAAGTGGCTGGAGACGATGGGGTCTGGATTTATTTTCAGCTAAGGAAATATGTTGGGTATAGAAAAGGGAAGCGTAGTGTGGCCACCTGAGTGAGCCGTTGCGGATGCAATCAGTGTATTCCCGCTGATGCTTTTGTCAGCGGATGTCACATGGTGGTGCAAACCAGACATTGATACTTTCCCCCTCTCCCTGTATTTTTGTTTCTTTGCCTATGACAGCTGAGTAGTGTGCAAGATTTATAGATTCTGAAATTAGATTGAGAAAGTATTATGAAATAAGGTGGCAGAGTGAGAGGAGTACTAATTTTTTTTTTTGGAGTGTTGAGTCACAAGTAGCTTCCCTTATCCTTATATACCAGAGGAAACAGCATTCTTATGCCTGTCAGTTAGTTTAGATCCCAATTTTAGATTTTTTTTAAAATGCAAAACTATTTTGATGTTTCAATGAGCATGGTATTGGATTTAAACATTCCTCTGTAGTATTGTGACTTCAAATGCAATACATTGTATGAATGGATGTTAACCAGGAAGTTAAACTGGCCAGTCTAGCGTCATTTTTCCAAATTGCATAACACACAATGAAAATATAGTGAAAAGTAAATTAGATTTTCATGGATTCCAGCATCACAAATGCCACCACTTGACCTTATTAACTGAGGTAGGGGGAATTGTTTTAACACCCATATTCTCTGTAAAGGCAATCCTAAACATTTGGACTCTAAAATTTAACTACAGTTCTAAACTGCTTATTTAAAGAATAGTCAACACTTTGTAGCCTATTCCTGTGAAATGACCGTTGAATGGAAAACCAGGTTATAACAGGTATACATAGGGTGACCAGATGTCCCAACTTTTCACCCTTGCTATCTGGTCACCCTAGGTATACATAGCCACAATGTGAATTGAAATATTTATCAAATACTTATCTCTTATTATAATTAGAGGTAAAAGGTCAAATGTAGACCAAAAGCCTAAGAAAGGTTTTAGAAAATCTGCCTGTGGCATTTTTAAGGTGACTCTTACCATGGTATCTAAGGATTTTTGTATTAGGAATTTTTGCACCAAGGTAACTATAGTAGTCCATAACCTCCCATCTAGACAAGCTATTGGCCTTGATCTGCTAGCAAAGGCTGTTGCCATAAAGAATTTATGAAGACAGGCTGAAATTCTACTCTTGGATGCACCAGCTGTAGACTTTTTTTAATCAGGGGTTGCAAGAGCTTTAGTTTTGGGTCTCTGTGAAGGGGTGGGTGTTTCACTATATATTTTATATATATTATACACAGAGTTCCTCCTCTACCTTGGTGGGTCCTGCACTTATTGGCAGATTTTGCTTGCCTCAAATATTCGTGGCAGCCCTCAGTTTGGCCACTTTCTTGGCTCAAATCTGCTCTTCACTCAGAGAACCTCCTCACTGGCCAGCATGGGGGGGGGGGGGAACCCAATCCCTGCAGTGTCTGCTGATCCACCATGTGGGTCAGGGACCAGTTTAGAGACCTTCACCTCTGGTGGAAGCTCCTGTGTTAGGTCAGGAGTTGGGAGGTCTGGGGGAAACCCGGGCCCACCCGCTACCCCAGGTTCCAGCCCAGGGCCCTGTGGACTGCAGCTGTCTAGAGTGCCTTCTGGAACAGCTACACAACAGCTACAATTCCCTGGGCTACTTCCCCTTGGCCTCCTCCCAACACCTTCTTTGTCCTCACCACAGGACCTTCCTCCTGATGTCTGTTAACGCTTGTATTCCTCAGTCCTCCAAACATCACATCCTCTCACTCCCAGCTCCTTACGCACACACCTCACTAACTAGAGTGACAGCCTTTTTAAACCAGGTGTCCTGATTAGCCTTAATTCTGGCAGCTTCCCAATTGGCTACAGGTGTCCTAATTAGCCTGCCTGTCTTAATTAGCTCTAGAAAGTTCCTGAGTGTTCTGGAATAGTCCCTGTTATCTTACCCAGGGGAAAGGGACCTGCTTAACTTGGAACTAGTGTATCTACCTTCGACCACTCTTGTAGCCATCTGGCCTGACCCTGTCACAATAAAAATATAGTTTTGTCAAACTTCTTGTTCAGACAGAACCCACTTTCGGTCAAGGATTTGGATTGAAATTATGGCTCCTTAAATGTCAACATATATATATTCCACTGTGATAATTAGTGCACCCACCTTTCATTACACTACACACAATTCATGAATTATTAAAAAACTAAAAGGGGGGGGAATGTCATTTTTCAAGGCTTATGTTTCTGTCTGTATAGTAGCAACACCTATTATATAGGTGGCTAAACACTTTCCATTATAACCCCCTGTCTTCAATTGCTTATTCCTTTTGGCAAACTGTTTGGGCTGAAATTTTTCATGCTTGATCTCTGCCTCAGGCTGAATTAATTTTTTACCAAAAAAAAAGCTTCAACAAAGATCTTTAAACTAAGGGGAAAATAGGCCGCTTTAACAAAGTTAAGCCATCTCTTAGAATTTTAAGAGCACCGGTACCTCAGGGTTTGAAATGGATACTTGAAACTTGGCAGGGGAAATAGTTCAATTGTGAAGGAGGTACCATTTGCTGCCCCTGATTTGGCTAAACTACAAAACACAGGAAAACTGTCTCTTGCACATGTACAGTAGAGTTTGTCACACACATGCTGTTGAAATTAATCTTCAAGCAATATTGCTCGACTTGCCTGCGCTTCAGGATTATGTCCTCTGATGATATTCTAGGAGGATTTGTGCAACCTGGAACTTCACATCATGTTTTTTAGCAATTTATTAGGCAATCTTAGTCATTCCTTCACAGTCCTCATGCTAAATTGCAGCACATCCTCTCTGCTCCAGGCCAATCTCTGCCTGTTAGGTAACTTTATAAAACATGCTTTCAGAATTTGCATTCCTGTTTTCTAGATTAATGAATTTTCCACCAATGATGATAGCTACAGCATGAAGTTACTACTCTAAATTCTCTTTTTGAAAAAACTGACTTGTAAAGAACATACTTTCGGTCTGGTATAGTAGTGGGTAGCAGTCCAAGTGCTAGCTTTGACAAACAAAGAACTCCTGGTCAGTTTGGCAGTGTTAGCTGTGCAGCAGTCAAGGACTTGTCCACAAATTAGTTTTTGGCAAGCTAGCGTTCAAATCTACCTAGCGCTAGCCTGCTGCAGACTAACTGTCTGTGACCCCTACTGATGTGTATTAACAATTCATTAATGTGCTTTGATCTGGCTCTGTTTTCAAAGGGGACTAGATCAAAGTGCATTAGTAAACTGTTAGTGGACATCAGCGGGGTTCACACAGACAGTCCATAGATTGACACCCCATCTTGCCACAAATTAAATGTCTGTTTCTCAGGAAGTTCCCACTCAGCCTTCTTTTCTCAAAACTAAATATTCCCAGTTTTTTACCTTTCCCCATAGGTCTCCTTTTCTAAACCTTTTATCAGTTACATTGCTCTTTTGACTCTCTGCAGTTTTTGCAATGCCCAAAGCTGGACACGGTACTACTCCAATGGAGGCCTCAAGTGCCGAGTGAAGTAATTGTCCTACTTTACTTGTCATGCATATGATACTCCTGTTAATACACCCCAGAACGATATTGGCCTATTTCTCAAGTGCCTCAAATTGTTGGCTCATATTCAATTTGTGATCCACTATAACCCCCAGATCCTTGCAGTACTACTGCGTAGCCTGTTATTCCCCATTGTGTGTTTCTGCATTTTACTTTTGTTAATAATTGTAGTACTTGTCGATTTGAGACAAATTTTCTAATTTGTCAAGGTCCTTTTGGAGTCTAATTCTGTCCTCCAAAGTGCTAGCAACCCCTCCCAACTTGGTGGTGTCTGCACATTTTAAAACCACACTCTCCGTTCCATTATCCAGGTCACTAATGATAATATTGAATAGTAATGGACCCAGAATGGATGCCTGCAGAACCCCACTAGAGATATTCTCCCATTTTGACAATGAGTCATTGATAATGACTCTTTGAGTACAGTCTTTCAATGAGTTGTGCACCCACAATATAGTAACTTCATTAGTAGACCACGTTTCCAGAGTTTGGTTATGAGAATGTGAGAGGAGAAAGTCAAAGCCTTACTAAAATCAAGATATATCACATCTACTGCTTATCCATATTCACTAGGCCAGTAACCATGTCAAAGAAGGAAATTAGGTTGGTTTGGCATGATTTTTGTTATTGACCAATCCATTGCTGTATCATCCTCTAGATGGTTACAAAATGATTGTTTAATAACATGTTCCACTATCTTTACAAGTGTCAAAGTTAGGATGACTAGTCTATAATTAATAGAATTTATGAAGTGAAAAGTTAAATTGCTCATGTGTTTACCTAAACAACTAGGGCCCAGTTCTGCTGCTATTGATGTCAATGGAAATTTTACCATTGACTTCAGTGAATCCAAGATTGGGCCAATAGTGATTTCACAGTTAAAACCCTCTCTGGAAAGATATGTGAAAAATTTTAAATATTTAATATAGCTATCTAAGCCATCTCCAGTGTAACACATATTTTAGACTGCATGTATAATAAAACCTTTTTAATTTTTCAGGTAAATCCGATTGGCTGCTGGGAACACTTTGAAATGTTGTCTGCAATGAAATTAATATTAACACTCTTTCTTTCTGGAATTGTAGCCTGTTATGGTGGAAATGCTAACGATGATTCAATACACAAGTTACTCCTGGTGTCCTTTGATGGTTTCAGGGCTGACTATCTGCAAAACTATAGACTTCCTCATCTCCAAAAGTTTATTGAGGATGGTGTGTTGGTAGAACATGTTACAAATGCTTTTATCACAAAAACTTTCCCAAACCATTACAGCATAGTGACAGGCTTATATGAAGAAAGCCATGGCATTGTGGCTAACACAATGTATGAAGAAGATACAAAGAAGACATTTTCGGAGTTTAATGATACAGATCCTTTCTGGTGGAATGAGGCAACTCCTATTTGGGTGACAAATCAGCAGCAAGAGAATAGAAGAAGTGCTGCTGCAATGTGGCCTGGTACTGATGTAAAAATTAACAACACAATACCTCATTTTTTTATGAAGTATAATAATTCAGTAACATTTGAAGAGAGAATGGAGCACATTACTATGTGGCTGAACAACTCTAACCCACCAGTTACTTTTGCTACGCTCTATTGGGAAGAACCAGATGCAAGTGGGCATGTATATGGACCAGGAGATAAAGAAAACATGAGAAGAGTGTTAGAACAAGTGGATAACCACATTGGTTCACTTATTTATAAACTCAAGGCATTGGGATTGTGGGAGAACATTAATGTCATAATTACAAGTGATCATGGAATGACTCAGTGTTTCCCGGACAAGCTGATTAGACTGGACAACTGCATTGGCCGTGGTAACTACACTCTGGTAGACAAGACGCCAGTTGCTGCAATACTACCAAGAAATAGTATGTATATTTTTTTCAGTTGTATACTGAGAAAGTGTTAAACTTTGTCTCCTTTCTTGCTGGAAATTTCCCATTGTGTATTATTCACAGGAGTTGGGAAGACAATCCAGTTCATGTTGCATTATTTAGACAGAAAATAATGGATGAATGAATACATTAAATTAGGGGTATCTAGTTACTTAAAAATAACTGGGCTCTGGTAATGAAGAGCACATGTTGAATAGCTAATATTTACCCTGCATGCTGTGTACTTTTGGATGTTAATGAGTGCTCTGGAGTGGTTTATTCTAAAGTAGTTGTGGTGGATTCTCCATCACTGAAAAATTTTAAATCAAGGTATGCTCTCAGAATTACTTTGGGGAAGTTCTATGGCCTGTGTTATAGGGGAGATCAGACTAGGTGATCAATGGTCTCTTCTGGCCTTGGAATCCCTTCATGCCTTTCCTCCTTTTGCTCACCCTGTCAGTTACTCAGTTATATCACAATAACGAGCACCGTGGGATAACTTCACTGGGGATTGAAAATTATACTGATCTGAATTTTAGGTCTTTAGAACTTGTTTTATATTTATTATATTTTGCCTCTTTCATCCCACTTCAATTACAACCTGATTTCATGGGTCAAGTCTTAAACTGATAGAGCTAAAACCAATGCTATATGAAAGCTGGAATCCCTCCCCAATGTCATTTTAGGGTCATGACTGCAGATAAGCACTTATTGTTGACTATCAAAATTAGGCCGGAACTGATGTGGCTGATGAAAAATGATCAGAAAAACCTGACTGACTTTAATGCAGGGTTCACTTTATATTCTAAGAAACTGGATTTTTTTTCCCCTGTGATTATTGAATGTTAAAGAAGAAATTATATTTGTATCTCAACTTTCATTCTCTCCACAACAAAATCTGAGAAGCCATTAGAGCTTTGAAGGAGAACAGTTACAGCAGAAACAAATGATGACGCCAACACTGATTACCTCAGTAACCAATCGGGTACCTAAGTGACACCCCCTCTCATGTAGCTTTAAAAAAATTATTTAAAAGTTGTATTAAGTGTGCTTATGGATAACAGTAAATGGACAAAACTACATAGATAACTGAATAGTTGCTGTTTCTTATGCTGTCTGTTTTCTTTGCAGACAAAACATATGTATATAACTTACTGAAAAACTGCAGCACTTCCATGAAGGTGTATCTTAAAGAAGAGATTCCAGACAGATTTCATTACCATCACAATAAGCGCATTCAACCCATAATTCTGGTTGCAGATGAGGGCTGGACAATTGTACAAAGTGGGTCATTTAGAAAATGTAAGTATTTTCATCCTTCATGCTCCTGGTGGCTTATATTGTTGAACTCTTTTTTTTTTATTTCTATTGTTGGGATCCTCAGGTACTACTATCAGTGATGAGTAAAATAGAGAACCCATGCATATTACAAAAACCCATAAGCAATGGGTTACCCAAAATTACAGGCAAATAAAACAAATAGGAAGGGTTTAGGAGTACAAAGTTATACCACCACCAAGTTTGTATGCATAAATCAGCAATAACAATGGTCACAGTAGCCATGAGTTACAATAAAGAATTTAGACCAGTATGTTGAGCAGTAAAGTCAGATGTAGTGAAAGCAAAGTGTCTGTGTTCTGTATATTTGAGTAACCAAAAAAAAAGAAAATATAAGCTTGCTGCTGCTGCAAAAAGTTCTGTCTTAAGTCATATGTAGTACATTTCATGATAATACTTAGTGCTCTGGAACTTTGCCACCACCACCACCTATCTCCTTGATGAATCTGACTGTAACAAGTGGTTGTAGAGAATAACTTAACTTAAAATTGGTCATCTGCACTGCCACCACATTCCCAGTTTCATCCATATTGTTGCATAGGATATAAAGCTGTCCTGTACTCTTTCATGTTGGAGGTGACAGTATATTATCAGTAAAAGGTGTGAATCCCTTCTAAAGGGGAACCCAACAGCTCAGAGCTGACTGAGTCTAGGAAAGAGGGTGTCTGGCTCACCAGACAGCCAAAAACTATGCACTTAACTACAGTAGATATGAATGTTTTACCATGTATACCTTCAAGTACACAATTAGCAGCTTAATGGAGCAGTGAATGGATAGTCTCAAATTTTTCTAATGTTGCTTGGTTTTTCTACTAATACCACTGCCACCATTCTAGTTTCTAGCAATATAGTGAGGGAACTTTGAAGGGGCCTTTTCCTACAGAACAAATGAGTGCATAGAAGCAAAAGATAAGTTTAGCTTAAACAATAGCAAGTAACTTATGATTTATTCCAACACTGACATCACAAAACTGCTAAACAAAATCATCTTACTGGAGAGACTCACTGGATCGTGAGAGCATGTAAATTACAAAATCCCATATCAAAATCCTGAATTGATTGATTTGATGCTGTCAAAAATGCACTTTGGACAAACTGCCACCGAGAGTTGGATATATACAGGATATTTGCAAAGGCCCTGTCTGATGTGTGATTTGTTGAGTTACTCAGATCATGAAGAAACCTTGGATGAGGACTCTAGTGTGTACCGGAACTGAATCTATCAAAGATAATGTGCTGCAAACTTTTAGAACTGACTAGTCACAATAAGCAGCTAAGTGTTTTTTTTTTTTATATCCATACATGTATAATATGAGAAGAAACCCCATATGTGTTGTGATCTGTTTTGCTGACCTATCCCATAGGTTTCAGTGTTAGTGCTATTTCGAACTCTTTCTATATATCTAGTCTTTTGAATGGTCAGTCATAAAAGAATATTCTAAAGACTTTTCTTAAGTCAGTGGTTCTCAGTCTTTCATTTTGTGGACCCCTTTTGGAAATTTTCAAATGGAAGCACAGACCTCTTTGGAAATGTGTCTCTATAGCTGAATTCTGTTCAGTTTTCAGTCAGTCTTTCACGTACATCTTAAGACAGTCCACAGGTTGAAGACCATTGCCCTAAGTATTCAACAATCAATGTTGTTCCTATAATTTATAAGGGGCTTAGGAAGACAAACTCGTCAGGAGTGTCTTCTAGAGAAGAAGCTAGAAGTGGCTGAACAAACAATTTTTAAATTGCCCTCTAGAGAATCCCAATAACTTGTTCTATGACCATGGAAAGAAACAATGTAGTTAATGTGAAAACAGTAACCTTTGTGTTGGCATCTTATACAAGTTTAAAGCAAATACAAAAGTGGCTCTAGAATAGTTGCTATAAACCCCCCCCCTACTATTCCCTGCTGCTAGAGTGATCAGCAGATAAACGCCAAATTGAAGAGTGCTTCTACTCTGCATCCTGAAACTCTTCAAATTCTGAGCCTGGCAGACTACTAGAGAGGGGTTCCAGGTGCACAAAAGAGGCCTGCTGTTGGTCCTGAAGAGTTCAGTCCATGAACCAACTGCATGAGTGACCCAGTAAAGTATAGCTGTACACAGGGAAGATGTTTGGTTTCCAGAGCACTTAGCAACAAGTTTCTTTTATAGGAGACCTGTTTGCATTCTAAATGTCCTATTCTGGAGTTTGTTTATGCTAGAGAAACAAACAAGATTGTTTACTGTTAACCAAAAATCCCTTACCCTACTGCAGTTTCACACTGCTAGAATCCTAAAAGTTAGATCTACAATATTTGTCTTAAATGGATTTTTTTGCTGCAATGATTGGTTTTTAAAAACCACAAATTTGCTGCATGTTCTGTATATGAACTAGAGGTTAAAGCGCCTGTTAAAACTTCTGCTGTATCACTGTGAATTAGTACATTACGTACCTTGACCACTCTTTTAAAAACAAATCTGGCTACAAACCTATCCTATCCTAGATCACGATGATAAATACTTTCATAATCCAGATCTCTTGCTTGGATTCACATTTCTGGGGGGAATATGGAGGTTATGCTCTAATAAAAAGAAACTTCAGCAAAGTGCCCTGTTAATATTTTAATAGCAAAGTTTCCTACTTAAAAATTCTTGTGGCTTTCAAGCATTAGTAGAAGTGTTGCATTACTTTATTATTCCTCCCTTTTTTTAGGAATAGACGTGTTAATATCATAGCTAACAAAGTCTGTAAGCAACTTAATTTCTGTTAGTTTACAACATTAATTTTATATTTGTTTATTAACTTTGCATTTCTCCTTTAGTAGGTGACCACGGCTATGACAATGCTCTCCCAAGCATGCATCCGTTCCTGGCTGCTCATGGTCCTGCTTTTCACAAAGGCTACAAGCAGAACACAATTAATAATGTTGATATCTACCCAATGATGTGTCACATCCTCAGACTAAAACCTCAGCCCAATAATGGAACCTTCAGCAACACCAAGTGCTTGTTAGTTGACCAGTGGTGCATAAATCTCCCCGAAGCAATTGGAATAGTTGTTGGTGTCCTCCTTGTGTTAACTACTCTGACCTGCCTTATAATAATCATGAAGAATAGAGTGTCCTCTCCCCGTCCATTCTCCCGACTTCAGCTACAAGAGGATGACGATCCCTTAATTGGATAGCAGATGTAGGAAGTCCTAACCTCACTACTTACTTCCAGACCCTAATATCTATGTATAGTATGAAGCACTTTAAACAGTACTCCATTTAAAATTGCCTAAGATGTACAGACAAAAATCTGTTGAACTGTTTGCCTCTGCACCTTGACTAACAATTCAATAGCACAAGATTTACAAAAATCTACACTGAAAGGATCCTGTTGCCGACTGCAAAAGGCATTTAACAAGACAAAGATGTTTTGCATTTGGGCATTTACACACTTGTAAAATTATAAACTAGCTAGGCTAGGAGTCTGATCTCTAACACTTGTAAATGAAACATACTGCATTTGCTATTAAAATTAATAGCAGTGATTTCTTTACAATTCTTGCACTCATGTATCAGTTGGAAAACTCTGTCCTGGGTCTTAAACTTTAAGACCAGTGGTTCTCTGGCTGGTGTATAGTGATTGTTCTCAGAAACAGGGATTCCAATTTCTTGTAGCTAAATAAACCAGCAGTAGAAATTCCACACTAGTGGCAGTTCTCCCCTGCAACTATTATAAGGCAAGTTGTACAATGTTCCTAGTTTAACTAGGAGGTGGTGTAGTCTAAAGTACAGGAATGGGTTGATGGATATCAAGTTCTTGTCCTACTTCTGACTGACTTTCTGCATGGCCTTGTGCAAGTCAGTTGACTTCTCTACCATAGTTTCCTCAGCTACAGAACTGGCATAACACTTAGTTACCTTGCAGAAAAGACTTAAGAATGAGTTTGTTTGTGAAATGTTTTTGCAATTCTCAGGTGGAGGTCTTGAAGTACAAAGTACTATTAAAGAAGAATATGAAACATTTCTCAGATACACCCCTACTTACCTACATGCACTCTTTCATATACACTTGAAAAAAAATGTGGGATTTTTTCTTTAAATGGGCCCCTCACTTCAGGGTTCAAAGCTTTCTCTGGTTAAAACATGATTGTAATAACACATGAAGAAAAACTTAGTGCTTAGGTAAGGATATGAAAAAACAATGGACTTTATCTTAGGAGGATGGTACCTTTTGGGATCTAAATCTATTAACAACTTTTAAAGTACCGTTGGTTTACAATGGAATTATCTGAAAACCCCTGAAACTATTAGTGATGTGGTATGACTTGCTATATGCCACGTTACTCCCAAGCTACTTATCAGTGTTTGAAGAAAGAGCTCAAAGTACTGCATGTTGCTCTTGAGTATCAGCAAGGCACCATTCAAGAGTGGCATCGGCAGCTCTAAAGGGAGCTGCATCAAGTTTTCCAAGGGGTAGAAAGAATGGAAAATAAAGGGAATCAGTCATCTTTGTGTGCGTGTAATGTGCTTAAGATCAGACTATTTTTAAATGGCTAGTGCCTTAACTTAGTGAAATATTTATATTTTGATTGTATGGCTTTAGTTTCTGTGAAAACATTTTGCATATGTAAAATAAATTTTAGTGTCTTAATTTTTCTTGAACTTTTTTTCTAAGCAAAAAACATGGCATATTGTTCATCCTTTTGGAACTGAGAGCTTTTGCTGTTAGGGCATATGATAGCATTTCACAGTTAGTGCAGACTATGATCTTTATCACCAAAAGAGGCTAATACATCTAAAAAAAATCCAAACTGCAAATGGATGTGCAGGGAGAAGAGGCACACATCAGATGCTGGTCTGGCCTAGGAACAGGAAGGGCTCAGGCTGGTGAGGGTGGGTGTGAGCTTGAAGAGCCCAGGTACTGAGTAGCCATCAATGCATCCCTACTGCTAGAGAAGGCAGGGTTCTCCACTGTCCTTAAAGAAGCAGCTGATGCCAGTTTTAGCCAGTAATGTGTATAGAAGATCCCAATTTTGAGAAGGTTGCAGCAGATCTAAGCTGGCTATTTGAGTCCTCACACTTCCTAGATCCTCATTAATTGGTTTTAGACATGGGTTTGGGGTAAAAACTGCATTAAACTTTTTTTAAAAAATGTCAGCTTCTTTTGGCACAGTAGGATTGGATAGAGTTGCCCTTGAGTGCTGTGGGATCTGGTTACCTAGAGAATAGCTTCTTGCCCCAGCCCCTATGCCATAGATAAGACCAGTAGAGATGTCTAAAACTAAAGCTACCTTCCCACACCTGGGGGGGGGGGGGCAGGGGTGTGCTGTGGTAGCACCTTCTCCATCAGACATCCTGTTTCTGGAATTAGTTTCACTTCTAGCACTAGATGCTATAAAACCACATCTTTTTGTACTAAGTATTGAAGAGTATATTTCACAATGGGATTTGAGATGATCATGACCTCTAAGCTTGAGTATTAACTGGAAATCTGATGCATCTGAATTATGCTTAAAATCTTAAATATTAGGGGAAGGGATAGAACTGGGGATACCCTATACGAAGCAGAATAAAGGAAGAATTAAACAGTCATTGTTTGTGGCTTCTAGTGCTTCAACTAAGACAGTGATTTCCTTTGACATACATGAAACTTCTTTCACTCACAGAAGTTGGTCCAATAAGGGATATTGCCTTATCAACCTTCTCTCCAAAGTTATTTACTTACTCCTATTCCTGTCTTTGCTAGCTTAATTGTTAACTCAGCCCAGAAAATACCTTTATGAAGATGGTTAAGTTGCATATATCAAAATAAGATGAATACACATGAGGCCTTACAATTTCATATCCCAGACCCTTGGTTCACTCACATTCCATTTATGAAACCAGAACTCTCCCCTGTCTCTTTACTATTTACCAGAAATAATTACAACAGTAATTAAAACAGGCACCTATTAAATCTTTTCATAAAACTGTTACAAATTTCAGAGGGTTTTTTAACAATCTTAGTTATGACTTGAATACTACTTGCAGTGATAAAAGTGAGTTTACAAGTACAAATAGGAAAGAACATTCTTGACTAGAGTCAAAGCATGCCATATTTTAGTAAGTGGTTTTTTGAACAGCACAAGCTTTCTTATTTCCTAAATTCACAGTTGCAATATATTTTAACCCCAGCTTTCACTAACTCAGTCACATGCAATCTTAAAGTACTCAAAAAAGCACACACATCCCACCCTGTGCCATTTCAAAGAGCATGGGCTGGAGCATTCATTATATTTCTCCAATGGTATCATTTCCTGTGCTTACAGGTTTAGGATTGTGCATTTGTAAACGTAACCAATATTAGATAGGTGCCCTGCAGCTATTCCTAAACAATAGACATTAAAGTTTATTTTATTTACACTAAAACAAAACATGAAAACCGCTTTTAGTTTGTAGGGATATACAAATCAAAATAGCTGAACACACAACTCCCCCACTTCAAAACCTGTCAGTTATTTTTACAGTACAGTGCATGTTTCAACTTAAACAGGTTTTGTGACTAGCAAAATCCCTTTTTCCTGGGGGTATTGGCTCACACATACAAAAGTTTCTCTTAGAACACATTGCTCTTCACTAAACTGTATGTTTGGGTATGGGAATTCTGGGCACAAATGTTATTGTTGACAGATGTACTGAACTTTTCCCCCTAAAATAGTAAATTGCCTAACAGATTGAATTATACCACTTTTAAGCTGATTTAAAAAAAAAAATTGCAAGTGCTTACTACACCCTTGAGGATATAATTTACTTGCTCACTGTGGAGTTTTCTAAAAAGCCACATTAACACCCCTGCCACGTTGAGAGAAAGAATAACTATTCAATGATGCAAAGAAAGATCACATTGTCTATCTTGTATGAAAATTTTAATACCAAGGTCATTGGGAAGAGGGGACAGAGCTTGAGTGAAGAAGCTACTGGAAACAGACAGTAAGGGGAGATTATCTAGGCTTCTGCAAGGAAGTGCTGTCAGACTGTAGGTCTCAGTTTTGTATGTGAATATTTATTCTATTGATCTGCAAGAATTATTGCATATAGGTTACTAAGATCAGAAAAGGTACAGATTTTATACATCAAAACGTCTCCCCTTACCGTCCAACCAAGATACTTTCCACCAATTCCTGAGGACAAGACTGCCAAAGTAAAAATTGCAGTGGATCCTGACCTTCCTGTGAATAAAGTTTACTGGTAGCCCGATTTTAATCTAGGTTCATCTGCTCTGAACTTCAAGGTCTTAGCCACTACTGTGAACACCATTTTCATCTGTTTTAGAAGAATTATTTGTCTGATAAACTACTGACAAGCTACTGACAAGTCTACTTTTGTTATCACCTGACTCACTAAAAACAGGTTGTGGGCTACTCCAGCAACAGGCAGCTTTACATTATTGGCACTATGGCCACAGGGTGATTTTCCTTGACTACCTAAACCAAGATGGAGGTGGAGCAATAGCACATGCTCCCCAGGACAATTACAACAGAATTTCAGACATGAGTCAGATTAAGTTATATACCATGCCGAGTTTTGAAACTGAATTCTGTGACTACCAACTCAGTTTCAGTATTCTTGCCCATCCCACTTTAACAATAAGATATAGCCCATGAAACACCAGCCTTCTGTGGGTCATATAACTCAATTTAGAAATGCACAACCCTGCCTGCTACAATTAAAGACCAAAATGCAACTTGCAACTTGTACAAACACTATCCTAGTGATATTTATGTTGAATGCACAAAATCAGAGCATTTTGGATAGTATACATTTAATCTGCCCATCCTTCCACTGTGGATCCCTTGCACTCTTTTCTTAACCTAAACAGATTTTTGTTTAAATCCATGATTTGTTTAAATTCAGAAGACCAAGAGCTTAGTGAATCCAAAAATGATTTCTACTTCCCTAATATTAGCCCAAAATGAAGTATCCAAGAGTTTAAAGTTACTAAATCTCTACACACATATCCTTCCAGTGTTATCTAGAGGGTTTTCAACCCTGAAAAATCAAGTGGTTATATAGAGCAACAGAAACAAGCTCTCCCTGTATGCATCTGTTACACATTTACTCCAGTGCACCACATGTATTAATTTTCGCAGATCTACTTACCTAATTTCTAGGAAAACTTTTAAGCTCAGAATAGCTAGAATAACTTTTCATTGTTTTTATTAAAGTGCCTTCATTGGAAAATAATATTACCCTTGTAGTAATGGCTGGGAAATTTCAGAGTGTTGCACCTGCATGCTAGGTAGGTGGCTGTGGATTAAGTGTTTAATAAAAACTAAAAGAAAAACAACAACAAGAATGCTACCAAGAAAAACTCCTATAAAATAGGCATAGGACTCCTGTGCATAATATCTAGGATTCAGGTCTCTTGGAACTTCCATAAGAAGCATATCTTCCATATTGCTGAGTGACCCATTGTTTGGCAATGGACTGATACTAAGCAGATGGCACAACAAGGGATACAGATCTGTGAGACTCATGGCTTCTTTGGTGGTATTCTTTCTAAAGGCAGGACCATAGGCCAAGAAGATTGGGTGCATTTCTGGTAGGACGTTGTCGTATCCATGATTACCCACTGGAAAGAAAAGAAAAAGTGAGTTATCAAAAACTCTTGACACCTTCAAGTTGTTAAAACACTTCCATTGCTCACTAAAAGTAGGAAATATTGAATCTTTGGACCTTTTCCCAGAAAATCCTCAATTCAAAAGGAAAAACAAACAGCCTAATTTATTGTAGCAAAGATTTAACTACATTTCTGAACAAGCACACAAACTTTAAGTAGTAGCTAACAGTCATAATATTAGACATTGTGAATCAATGCCTAGACGGTTAGCATTCATTTCACATAAATCATCAAGGGAGTCACTTAAAGCATTCAAGAATTTACTGCAGGAGGTTTCTGTATTGGCAGGGAGGCTAGAGGAGTTGATTCAAGAGCCATCAGAGACAGGAGAGGCCTATGAAGGGTAAGCTCAGAAGGTGTTAGAGTTTGGCGTGCAGTCACAGGCATCATGCACCGAAGCCTGCTTAAAGGAGAGAATTCTACTCAACAACTGGGCTGGCGGCTCTATACCAAATGGAAGCTTTTTTCTCAACCTCTGCTTGACTATTGGCCAATGTCCAGCCTTCTGGAACTCAGAGGTAGTGCGAGACCCTGACTCATCCTCTACCCCACATGCCTGTCAATGATATGGAAAAGATATGGCGACAGAAGCATGGAAAGGTCTCACAACTAGTGCTTCAATTCAGTTTTCCTGAAAAGAGCCACAGTCTCACAGCTCATAGGTAGCCCTACACCAGGAGAAATGTGTGCACATGAATACATGCATCATGCAGGAAAAAAGTGAGGAAATAGTTGGATTAATATGAACAGTGAAAATATTTGGTAAACTATGAAGAGTACTTTGACATCAGCTTTTCACCAGTTGGAAAGTTTGCTTTTAAGTGATCCTAGAACTGACAAGATTAGCAGCATAAGACAGAATCAGCATTTAAACTTACTGAGAGTATCACCTCTAAGATGAGCATCCCATATTAACCCAGTAATGAAAAGCCTCCGATGAAATCCCAAAACTGGCTCTCCTCCATGGATACCTCCGCCTCACTATTTTGTTTAAATTTGTACACAGCATTGCTTTCTAGTTTTTCCATGAAAGTGGCAGGGGTCATAACCATCTGTATCATACCACTTTATACCATCTTTCAAAGACCACCATGAACATACTTTGTTATCACATCGTTCTTCCCAACAGACAAAGTAAGTAGGTGATGGAATGAAAAGAGTGCCCATCTTGGAACAGGATGCACTGACAAGTGGAAGAAGGTCGAAGGCCTATATTTTTTTCAAGAAGTGCTAAAATACATGTCTTCTGACTATCAGGCCCCTTTAAAGTGTCTCAAGCTGGGCACAGAAAAATGGCAGCAGTCACTTTTGAAAATTTGAACCCAAAACTCTTGAGGATCATGCCCTAAAAAATAAACAGAAGGAAAGATGATGACCACATAAAGCCGCATGGACATCCTAATTAGAATATCCTGATATACTTACAAATGCAGTAACTCTTACATCAGGCATTTGGGTGAGAGGAACAATGTGCGGCTAGGCCAGGAGTGGGCAAACTACGGCCCGCGGGCTGCGTCCAGCCAGTCAGACCTTTTAATCCAGACCTCGATGTCCGTTGGGGGTTTGCCCCACTCCGGTGCGCCTGCCAGGGAGGGGAGCTAGAGGCTTACAAGCGCTCAAGGCCTGATCCCACTCCCCGGCAGGAGCGCCAGGTGGGCAGGGGGAGCAGGGCAAGCCCCCAAACCCACTCCCCGGCTGGAGCTCCGGAGTGGGGAAAGTGATGAGGTGGACCTGGATAAGGGGATGGGCCATGGCCCACCCATGGCTACACCCCAGCGCAGTGTGTCTTTTCTGATTTTAAAAAAACACGTTGCCATTGCAGCTCTTTTGAAAATGAGGCCCTGCATGTAGTGCATGCAATCTTGTAAAGCACCAGTTTGACGTAACGGCAACAGTTAAGATTTTCTTTTCCCTTTCAAAAATGAGTGCTAAGAGCTAAGAAAAAAAAAAAAGAAAACAAGAAGTGGACAGTAAGTGTTGGGTTTTTAACAGAGAAAGGAATGCAAAATGTTTTTTCACAAACATGAACCCGAAGGCTGTATTCCTGACTTGTCAGGAGAGCATCACGGTGTTCAAGGAGTGCAATTTGAATCACCATTTTTCAACAAAACATCCTAATTATGGCAGCAATTTAACAACTGAGGAAAGGGCAAGAAAAGCTGAGGAACTCGCCATGAACTTAAAAGTTAAGCAAAATATTTATGTGCGACAAGCTACAGTCAAGGAAGCCATTACAACGGCAACTTATGCTCTGGCGTTTAAAATTGCTAAACAAAACAAGCCTTTTGCTGAAGGGGAGTTTTTGAAAGAATGCATTGTTGATGTTGCTGGCATGCTGTGACCGGAATACCGAAACAAACAGTTTGTTACGAAGAACTGTTACTTGCCATGTAGAAGTGATTGATGAATATTTGGCTTCTGAGTTGAACAAGAAAGCACAGAGCTTTACACTGTTTTCATTAGTCCTCAATGTCAGCACTGACATTCAATAACCATACTGTGTCATTTTTGTCGGAGGAATTGATGACAAATTGGAAATCACAGAGGAATTTTTATCAATGGAATCAATGAAAGGCACAACTAAGGGATCAGATTTATACGAGAGGGTCTCTGGCTGCCTTGAACATCTGAAGCTCCCCGGGAGTAAACTGGCAAACGTAACCATAGATGGATAGCCAAATTTAACTGGGAAAAACATAGGACTTTTAAAAAGAATTGAGGACAAAGTAAAAGAAGATGACCCTGATAAAGAGGTGATTTTTCTGCATTGTATTATACATCAGGAGGCCCGCTGATGTACAATGTCCTGGACATCGATCATGTTGTTCGTACAATAGTGAAAATAGTGAACTACATACGAGCAAGGGGACTTAATCATCGGCAATTCATTTCCCTTCTTGAAGACACTGACGCCGAACACCAGGATTTACTTTATCATACAAATGTCCACTGGCTCAGCCTAGGAAAGATATTGCAGCAAGTGTGGGAGCTCAGAGATGAAATTCGCATGTTTCTGGAGATGCAGGGAAAAGAAAATGATTTCCCTGAATTAAAGAATTCAAATTGGGTGTGCAACCTCACTTTTGGTGTGGATATCTTGGCACATTTAAATGAACTTAATGTGAACCTGCAAGAAAAGAATGTGTTTGTACATGCATTGTATTGTAGTGTGACAGCTTTCAAAGTCAAGTTTGTCCTTAGTCTTGTTTTCAAAACAAGACTGAGTGTTCGCTCACTTTCCCACACTGGAAGAGTGGGAAGTGTTCCCAGAACAGATAGAAAAGTACAGCAAAATTTTGAGTGACTTGCATGGAGAATTTTGTCTATTTTCTGACTTTGAGACGATAGAGAAGACACGAGAGCTGGTGTCATGCCCACTGTCATTTGACTACGAGAAAGCCCCACAAAAATTACAACTGGAGCTCATTGATCTCCAGTGCGATTCCAGTTTGAAGGAAGAATACAATTCAGAAAAACTGGACGAGTTTTATGCCTCCTTGAGTGAAACAAAGTTCCCAAATATCTGCAAGGTAGCACAGAAAATCCTTATTTTGTTCAGGTCCACCTATGTTTGCGAACAAACAATTTTCCCTGCTGAATTACAACTAATCTCGCTACAGATCCCAGTTAACTGACCAACATCTCAGCTTGGTATTGTGGATTTCCACAATGATAATGGCACTGGATTTTGATGCCATTGTAAAGAAGGGTGACCAGCTGCAGGTTCACATTAATCAAAGGGGGTAAGTTTAGTTTAATTACTGTAATATGTTATGGTGGTATACTTATAATAGTAAGTAAGGTTTTATGTTTATTTCCACCAAAATATAATCTTTATTAAATAAAGTTTACTTGAATCTCTCTTCTTCAGAGTTAAACTGAACATCAACAACATTCCTTAATTATGGTTTAAAAGTTTGAATATATTTTGGTTATTGCCACGATCAAATGGAGAAACACTGATGATTCAACAAAGCTAATTACAGATTGAAAAGAAGTCAGCAATAAATGTGAAAAACTACCAAACTTTTACGTAGTGCAGTACACTGAAAAGTTTTAGCTAACATACAATCTGTGTTTGGACAGGAGCAAAATTGTGTGGTAAAATCAACAAACAGCTCAGTAATGTAATTTTCTAACAGCACATTGTTCAGCAGAACTATTTTAATAGCATTGATTTTGAAACAAACTTGTGTTGTCCCTGTTTGAACACGAATTGTTAATTTCATGAGCATTCATGGCCCGCCATACAATTTCCATACCCAGATGGAGCCCTCATTCCAAAATGTTTGCCCACCCCTGGGCTAGTATTTTCTTTGCCTGTTTAACAAAAGCGTTCTCCAATTTCTGAATCAGCAGACCAGTTTTTCTCATCCATCTCAGAAGTCCCTTCCAAAGCAATGTCTATGTATTCTGCACTACAGACTAATCCCCCCTCAGATCAACAGGCTGAACTGGCAGTTCTTCATACCACAATGCCATACTTTACAGAATTGTGCTCTAGGTTCTTAAGAAGTTCCAAGATACAGGTCTTGCAAAAGGAAGCTGCTTATTTTTTAAAGTTATATTTGTGATCAGCTAAGTTTTCTGAAGCCACTTTAGGACTGGATTTTCAAAAGCTCCTACAAGTTGTTGGGAGCACAAGTCCCACTAACTTTCAATGTGATGGTACATCTCAGTCCCTTTGGGGGTTCTGAAAATTCCACCCATATGTCTGAAGACCTCTTAACCCTTTTAAAGCCAGGTATGGGCTTTGGGGGCTGGAGAGGGGGTCACAGCATTTAATAACTTTTTATTGTGCTAGTTTGAATAGAAAAGAATTTATAGCTCTGAAACAGAATGAAGAAAAATATACTTACAGAGAAGTTGATCAGACTTGTTTATGTAAGATTTCCCATCCTTTATCAGCCATTGCTAAGATTGGTTGAATTTTACTGTTGTGTTTGTAATGTAATCTATTCGGAATCTCCTCCTTTTTATAAACAGTCATGTTGGGATGAGCATTGACCAAGGCTTCATACACTTCATCAAGTTTGCCTTAGACCAAATAAAACAAGAACTTAATAGTGACAAAACACAAGTAGCGATGATGAGTCACTTAGTATACATGCTAGCAACAGCTTAAATGATCTATTTCAGCAGTAGGTATGAAGGATGAAAATAATTGTTATACTGAAGAGCAGAATTTAGCCATAAAGGAAGTTATAGACAGACAGGCTGTGATAATTTTATTGTTAAGAGTTTTGGATGGTCACATTAGTCACCAGAAAGGTTTGGTGAAATCACATAACAACTTATTGGAACGTGCTCTTATGGTCATGTCCCTCAATATAAAATTACAACAGTTCTCTTATGTTATGCTTTTCTTTTTATTTAACACAAGAGTAAAATGGTCTACTTTTTGTAGTATCATTGTGCATAGCAGTATGAGTTGCACTTATTCACTTCAGTTAGAAGGAATTTAGGTAAGCCCCTTTGTGGATGGATAAATGGATTCTTCCCAGTTACATATAAAGCTTGGAGCTGGGAAGTGACACTTTCTCTCGTGTTCTGTTCAGAGCACACAGATTTCTCAAGGAGCAGAGCTTCAAAGGGGATTGCCACATTTCCCCAGAAACCATCTATGGTGCTCAGTAGCACCTCAGTGGCAGTTGGGTTGCTTTAGAGTTTATCTTACTTTAAAAAGCTGCATTGGGAGCTGTTGATTTCTCCATGGCAGCCTCGAAAGCATAACTTTTACTTAGGAGGAAGCCAACAATCTTCAGTTTAAGTCCACAGTATTTACTTGAGAGAAATTCAGTCCCCATTTTGGTATCTGGCCCTAATTGACTTTGTCTCCTCTTTATCTCACCATTTCAAATTATAGGTGTGGCAATTTTCTTCAAATGGTGGTTAGGTCCCAACTATGCAGCTAAGCAATCAACTCATGGTTTTAGGGGGGGGAGTCCAACTCTGTATTCATAGAATATCAGGGTTGGAAGGGACCTCAGGAGGTCATCTAGTCCAACCCCCTGCTCAAAGCAGGACCAATCCCCAACTAAATCATCCCAGCCAGGGCTTTGTCAAGCCTGACCTTAAAAATATCTAAGGAAGGAGATTCCACCACCTCCCTAAGTAACCCATTCCAGTGTTTCACCACCCTCCGAGTGAAAAAGTTTTTCCTAATATCCAACCTAAACCTCCCCCATTGCAACTTGAGACCATTACTTCTTGTTCTGTCATCAGCTACCACTGAGAACAGTCTAGAGCCATCCTCTTTGGAACCCCCTTTCAGGTAGTTGAAAGCACCTATCAAATCCCCCCTCATTCTTCTCTTCCGCAGACTAAACAATCCCAGTTCCCTCAGCCTCTCCTCATAAGTCATGTGTTCTAGACCCCTAATCATTTTTGTTGCCCTCCGCTGGACTCTTTCCAATTTTTCCACATCCTTCTTGTAGTGTGGGGCCCAAAACTGGACACAGTACTCCAGATGAGGCCTCACCAGTGTTGAATAGAGGGGAACGATCACGTCCCTCGATCTGCTGTCAATGCCCCTACATATACATCCCAAAATGCCATTGGCCTTCTTGGCAACAAGGGCACACTGTTGACTCATATCCAGCTTCTCGTCCACTGTAACCCCTAGGTCCTTTTCTGCCGAACTGCTGCCGAGCCATTCGGTCCCTAGTCTGTAGCGGTGCATGGGATTCTTCCGTCCTAAGTGCAGGACTCTGCACTTGTCCTTGTTGAACCTCATCAGATTTCTTTTGGCCCAATCCTCTAATTTGTCTAGGGCCCTCTGTATCCTATCCCTACCCTCCAACGTATCTACCTCTCCTCCCAGTTTAGTGTCATCTGTATTATATGATCCTAATGATATATTCTGTCTTTGGAAATTCTTTACTTCTTATTGTTAATGTTCCTGTAATGCTCAGAGGTCCAAATCCAGATTAGGCCATTACTGTGCTAGGTACGGTCCAAAAACTGGTTCCTGCCCAAGGAGTTTACAACTTATTTCAAGACAACAAGCAAGAAACAAGCAATAAGGTGGAATGGGAAGGAAGATGAAAGTCAATCATAAGATTAGATAGTTACATAGTCTAAGGGCATGCACAACTTGAATATTCACACCAGATTAAAAATTTAGGGAAACTATAGAAATAGATGGGAGGTTTAAAAGAACAGTAGAAACATGTAAAGGTTCAAATATATTTTAATCTACAAGTTTCTGTTCATCATTGTCTATTATTTGTATTGTAGCGCCTCAGAGCCTGTCATGAACTAGGACCCCATTGTGCTAGTCACTGTACAAACACAGAGCAAAGAGATTCTCTGCCTCAAAAACTTTAATATCTGCATCAATTTCTCTCTTCTTCTAGAGATCTATTTCTGTACTGCTTTTATCATTTACCTATTTCTGTTTTCTCTAAAGTTTGTTGCAAAGGCAGCTATGGAATGGGAAGTGGAGGAAGATGAGGGGAGAGTAGTAGGGGAGGAGCAGTGCAAAGCGTATAGACATGGAGTAGGGCTAAGAAGCAGTAAATAGTAGGGTACAGGAAGCATGGTGAAGGGAAAAAAAAGTATCAGTAAAATGTCAGAGACTCCACAAATGGAAACTGGAGGAGTCAAAGGTGCTGCTTTTTGAAGAAATATTGTCTGATGCCAGGGATCTTGCCCTTGTCTTCATCCCTGGCTTTTAACACTGTTCTGCTGTGATTTACTCAGGAAAGCTTAGGCCCCAATAAATTTGTTAGTCTCTAAGGTGCCACAAGTACTCCTTGTTGTTTTTACCAGAGGGTATGGCTAGACTGCAACAAACACCCGTGGCTGGCCTGTGTCAGCTGGCTTGAGCTAAGGGGCTATAAAATTGCAGTACAGATGATTGGGCTCAGGCTGGAGCACAGGCTCTGAGACTCTTCTGCCCCAACCCCTTGTGGGGTCCCAGAGCCTGGGCTCCAGCCCGAGTCCCAGTGTCTACACTGGAATTTTATAGCCTCCAGCGCTAGCCCCATGGGCCTGAGTCAGCTACCACAAGGCCAGCCGCAGGTGTTTTACTGTAGTGTAGACAAACCCAGAGAAACCCCCTGACAAATTTCAAGTCCCTGTGCCAAAGCATGGAAGCAATGAAATGGTTGTAATTTTTTTAAAACATAGGCAGCAACGCATTTCCCCTTAATTTGATTCTCTGAAATAACAGAACTGTTTTAGCAGAAACGTTTAAAAAGTCAACCTGAGGTAGATCGTTGGCATGGAAAATGTCACCTCCAGTGATTAAAATCTGGCAAGTTATAAACTTGTGGGTCTTGTAGTTGAAAGTGTCATGCAACCTTCTCTTTAGGTCATGCTCTCAGATCCATCTATACAATATATTCCATCTTAGAAGATAAAGGTAACCGAATATCACTGTCCTCAATTCCTTTCTTGGCAAGTTCTGTGCTTGCGGTTCCAGCTTCCCTCGGCCTCACAAGTCCGCATCCTGCTCCCACTGAAATCAATGGCAGTTCTGCCCCCAGCTACAGTTAGAGCAGGACTGGGGCCTTGGTGACACTACTACCCCTTACACAGAACACGGAAGGCTATTTTGGATGATTGACGGCATCTGCTATTGTAGAGCAATCATCTAAAATAGCCTTCCTGGTCTTGTTTAGATAGAGGTGATACCATGAAGTTTCAGAGAAGAAACTCTGAATCCAAGACTTGATAGGTTACGTAGACGAGGAAGGGGGTTTGAAAACGGATATAATTTGGTTCCTAAGCTTGCTCCTATATGTGCTGGGTTTTGAGTATTAAAGCTTTGCAGTTTGCTTTTCCTTGCTATCATGCCTTCCCTGTTTTAATAGTAATAAGCCTGTGCATGCTGAATCTATTTACAATATAATTTAGGACTGCGTCACATGCGCTATGCAAGTCAGAATTTTGTCACTTTAGCTGAGCAGGACGTTTCTGCAGCACTAGCTGATATTTAGAAATAAAGCTGCTATGTTCTTTTTGTGTTTCATGCATCCACATTTCAAAACAGGCAGCACGCCAGACCCCGACAAGTGGTCTCTTTGCAGCCTAGAAAGAACTGAAGGGTCGGAAGTGTGGTTTTAACGGTCACCAAATGTTTCTTATTTGTCTTTGGGGCTAAAACTATGACCTTATTTAGTAAAAAGGTCACAGCATGCTTCTTGTAAGTGGATCCTCTCTCTCCTCTGACTGCTAGTTCTGTCTTCAGTTACACCAATACATTCTGACTGAAGGCAATGTGGTTGTACATGTCCACCCACTTCCTGCAACCCTGCTCCCCTTTACAAAGCATTAAAGTCTCTTTTCTCACACCTAGATTGAGAGAAGATAGTAACCTCTTCCTGGACATACAACCTTAGCCTCAAATTAAAGTTAGTCACATTTGTATGTAAATTAAGGGCAGAATTTGGTCTGCAATGTTCAGCATGTAGGATGATATACTTCTCTCAGAAAGGTTCAAATACCCCTTAAGTATATCACTGGGGTTGCCCAAGCTGAGAAAGGCCAAGTCTGATTTTTTTGGAGAGGGTAGGGGACACGCAGAGGAAGAGGAAAAAGAGCAGTATATTCTGATAAGAGGTTGGTATATCAGATCCCTCCTAGCAAACATTAAAAACATCTCAGCTTCTACTTTTGATAGATGTCATTGGCTTCAACCAGTCAACTATAAGTAAGAAGATACAATGAAGCATGGGTTTGCCCTATCAGAAATAATCTGCACTCCAAACTTTTTAGAACAAGTTTTTCCTCTCCTTGCTGAAGACGGGCACTAGTGCTGTACTGACCTTTGGGGCCTGAACACATTAAACATGATAATAGTGGCTAAATTAGCTATAAGAATTTACTTTCTTATTTGATTTCTTAAAACATAATTCCACACAAAAATTGAAAATAAAACCTCTAGCTGTGGCTAGTGACTGAGTAAGAAGTAGTTAATTGTTGGACAATTCAAAAAGAGTTAAAGCCTATTGGGAAAAAGAAAGTAATTTTAGCTATGCCTATGAAAGACTAGTTTTATATTATCAGCAAACTAAAGAACTGAAACAAAACATGAAAGATCAGCATCTTCAAGCACAAGATGCTATTTAAAGCAGTGACCTCCGAATGGATAGAAAAAAAAGTACATTATGCAGCAATGAGATAACAAAGTAAGATGCCACTCCTATTAAAGGGACACGCTGCAAATCATTTAAAAAAATCCTGTCAATTAATGTTTTAGAAATTAAACTGAAGAGGTTTAAAAAAAAATCTATGTTTATTTTCAACATCTGCTTCCATTTCACAGTTCACTCAGCTTGGACAGCAAATACCCTTGTGAGCTTCACTTTGTTTTCATACACTAGTACAATGCTGCAAATGCTGCAGAGAAGTGTTTAAAGCCACAATATAAATCTTTTTAAAACCTGAATACATTTTTATTAAAATCAGCTCCTGTAAAATTGTATTTATTTTAAATTCAATCTAGATTTGGGACCTTGATCACCTTTCAATGCATGTTTATATTTCATGGAGAGGAATTACAAAAATAGGTAGGAATTAAGTTAGGAATACAAGTTTATGATAAATATATTGCAAATATTTCCAAGGAAAAAGGCCCTCTGCATTCAATTTTAAAATTCTGTGCCACTATTTTCTTCTTCTCTGTTATATAACCACCACAGAACCAAAAGAAATGGTCACAGACGAATACACTAGTTGTCACTGCTGGAGAGTTGTGATCTAATTTTGTTTACATGCTGGTGAGAATCAGGGGTAACCCTGTTGAAGTCAATGAAGGTAAATAAGTGAAACCAGCATGAGGCCCTTGGTGATTCAAGTCAAGTATGAGTATGGAGAAAACCCTATTGGATACTCCTCAACATCATATTTGGCAATGAGATATCAACATGATAGGTGCCTAATGGTTATACAGTACAGACCCGTTTACACGCGGATGTCAGGAGTCAAGCCATCACGACTGCATGTTAATGGACAGCGGGTTAAGAGGGCGATGCTGAAGTATCTTAAGATATCTATATACATACATACACACACACACACACACACACAATTATCTAGTATTACATACGTATTCACAGTGTCCCAAATACTGCAGGCCTATCTGTTAAAGGCGCTTTGCAAGAATATAAATTCAAATGTGTAATCTAATAAAAACGTTACTACTACTACACAGGGCTGAAAGTAACTCAGGACACTTACCGGTATGGGGTAGGGGCGGGGCTAGGTTCAGCACCCCCCAGCCAGCCCTTCCAGGCCGCCTGGTCTGTGCCACCCAAGGTTCCCATGGTGATTTAAAGGGCCCAGAGCTCCGGAAGCTGCTGCTGCAGTAGCGGCGTCCGGAGCCCCGGGCCCTTTTAAATCGCCAGCACTGGGGCAGCTGCTCCCTTTGCCCCCCCCACCCGTCAGCAGCCGAGGGGGGGCAAAAGGGACAGGGACCTTAAAGCGCTGCCGTGGCAAAGGACCTTGCAGTGCTTTAACGTCTTGTCCTATCCTTGGAGGTTAAGGAGAACATTTTTTCTCTCTCCTTGTATCAACCTTTATTATACTTGAAAACTGTTATGTCCCCTCTCAGTCTTCTCTTCTCTGGACTAAACAAATGCCTTTTAAATCGCCAGCACCGGGGCAGCTGCTCCCTTTGCCCCCCACACCCATCAGCAGCCGAGGGGAGGCAAAAGGGGCAGGGACCTTAAAGTGCTGCAGGGTCCTTTCTCCAGTTTGTCCAAATCTTTCCTGAAATGTTGCCCCCCGGAACAGGACTCAAGATTCCAGTTGAGGCCTAATCAGCGCAGAGTAGAGTGGAAGAATTACTTCTCTTGTCTTGTTTGCAACACTTCTGCTAATACAGCCCAGAATGTTTGCTTTGTTTTAGAACACTGTTGCACTGCTGACTCATATTTAGCTTGTGATCCACTATGACCCCCAAATCACTTTCTGCAGTGCTCCTTCCTAGGCTGTCATTTCCCACTTTTATATGTGTGCAACTGATTGTTCTTTCCTAAGTGGAGTACTTAGCATTTGTCCTTATTGACTGTTATCCTATTTACTTCAGACCATTTCTCCAGATCATTTTGAATTTTAATCCTATCCTCCAAAGCACTTGTAACCCCTCCCATCTTGGTATTATTTGCAAACTATAGAAGTGCACTCTCTATGCCATTATCTAAATGATTGGTGAAGATATTGAATAGAATTGGACCCAGAACTGATCCCTGCGGGACCCCACTTGTTATGTCCTTCCAGCTTGACTGTCAACCACTGATTTCTCCTCTCTGGGAACGGTTTTCCAACCAGGTATTCAAACACCTTACAGTAGCTCCATCAAGGTTGTATTTCCCTAGTTTATTTATGAGAAGATCATGTGAGATAGTATCAAAAGCCTTACTAAAGTCAAGATATGCCACATCTACCACTGCTCCCCCTCCCCCCATCCACAAGGCTTGTTACCCTGTCATTTTAATGCCATAGTTCCTACCTTCTTTTGGCAAAATCGCTACCACAGGAGAATGGTCAACCATCGTATACAGCTCTCTAGCCACATATCGATCAAGCTCTATGAGCCTTTCTGAAGAAGACTGTGTCATTCCATGGTCACTTGTGATTATGATATTCAGTGTGTCCCACAACTTTGCTTTCTTCAGTTCTGACACAAGATATCCCAGCTTGTCATCAATCTCACTAATGACTGCGCCCATACGTGGATTTTCTGGGCCTAAAACATGCCCCATCGCATCAGGCTGCTCCCAATACAGAAGACCAAAATTTATGGGTTCTTCTGAGGTAAACCAATCAATAAGTTTGTTAACTCGATCTTCGAATGAAACAGACTCATTGTAAAACATATAGTGTGTAGGAAAGACTCCATGTATTTTTACATCTGTTCCAGGCCACATAGCAGCTCCGGTTCTATGTCCTTCCATTTGATTGGTGACCCATATTGGACAGGCCTCTTCCCAGAACTTTGAATTATAGATGTTCATGCTGTTCAGGGAGAAAGTTTTGTTCAGGACAGGATCATACATTTCATTAGCAACCATGCCATGGCTCTCTGCATAGAGACCTGTCACCATTGTATAATGATTAGGATAAGTTTTTGTAATAAATACATTAGTAACCTGTTTAACATGAGCACCATTCTTCATGATATAATGAAAGTTAGGCGTTGGGACTTTATAAATATAATCCCATCGAAATCCATCAAAAGATAATAGTAACACTCTGGACTGGTCCTGCTGGAAACAAAGTGTGCTTGGAAAAGTCATCATACAGACTGCCAAGACTCCCCAGTAGCAATTCAAAGCCATCCTGGAAAAGCTTTTTCACTCAGGCACAAAGTTCGTATCTCTAGAATACAAAGGCAAAATTCGGTTACCACTTCAGCAAGTTAATTATCTTGAATACTTATCTTTACTACAGTATAAGTGAATCTGAACAAGTCAGTGAGTAATCCCTGTCAAGAGGTAATCATGTGGCTCCCATCACTGTGGAACACCTCACAAACATTAGTGGATTTCCCCTCACAACACCCCTGCTAGGTAAGGAAATAGTATTATCCCCATTTTACAGATGAGTAACTGAGGCACAGAAAGATTTAATGATTTACCCAACGTTACACAAGAGTCTGTGGTACAGCCAGTGCTTTGAACAAAAAAAAACATTCTTCCTCGTCCACCCTGACAAATTTGCCAACATTTGAGACACTATATATATATATACACACACACACACACCCATGTAAATCTATCTTGAGTGTATGTGTATATATGTACATACATACACACACTCAAGATAAACTTACAAGGGGGGAGGGGGAAGAGGTTTCTGTGTATAAAACTATTTCTTTAAAGCTTCCAGTTCCTCGTTAGGTTTGTTCTTCAAGTAATAAATAAGATACTATATTTTCACTAACTCCAAGACTAAGCCTGATATAGGCAACTAAATTATTTAGACACCAGCTTCTTGAAGTGATGCTACTCAAAGTAATTATCAGGTGCTAAGTGCAACCCTGGGTTTCAAGTTCTTGGGGGAAAAAAAGACTAAAAGCTTTTAACTCTAAAAGAGACAAGGAGTTAATACCAGATTGTGGCAGCAAAGGTACCAAATAAAGAGTCATCAAGTATATGTCAGCTGTTCAGCAGAGGGGAAGCAAGTCATCACAGGGAAGCTACAGTTAAAATTTCATTAACACTCCCTAAGTGTATTTTGATACTGGAATATCATATGTTCAGTAGAATAGAAGAATTACTTCTCATGTCGTGCTACTTTGATCATAAAGGCACTATCAATTTTAAACTACTATCAATCTGGCTCATATTGAAACTAGAGATTTAGAGGTGAAATACTCCATACAACTCTCAGCCATCTAATTTCCCCTCACATACAAAGATTTTAAATCTATCTGCTACCAAAAGTCTCTTGATTTATGAAGGAAAAAGGCAGAAAAGGAGAAAGATTAACTAGCATCTCAGATGATTCACAACTGCACTTTCTAATCAGTCCAGTGCTAAGCATAAAAATTGTTTTGTCCTTTTAAATCAACAGTCACTGACTTCTGAATATACTTAATACAGAAAGCATGAAATGAGAAATTCTTTGCTAAAATGAGAAAATTCTTATATCTAATCTGACCACTGTAAACTAAAACCAGTGATTGTTATGGGTTGCATGCAGAAAATGTTTTCTTCCTAGATAGCCATGAAAATAATTAGCTGTGTCTGATCAGCCGATTCATTAAGAAATCAGCTGCCAGCAGACACCCTGAAAGGAGTTATCTATATATAACAGCAGGTGCAGAGCTCATACAAAATGAAGTCATCCTCTCTTGTGATGCTACTTATTCACTGAAGGCTTTAGTTTTATCCTTCCCATATACTTCTAATCAAGACTCATTAATTATTCCAATTCAAGGCAGGCATATATTCCTGTAAAGCCTTGAAAACAGGTTTACATGCAACAGCTCGTTTCCCAAAAACCCATTAAAAATGCCTGTTTGTCCTGCCAAGAGGATTATTCCTCTATTTGTTACAGGCTTGCTGCATATGGTTGTTTCCTCGTTCTATTGTTATTTTAGCCAGTTCTAGCAGACTGATGGGTCCATTGCCACATAACAGCAACAGTGAGGCACATCATGCAGATTTGCCTTTCACTCTTTATCCAATACATTCATTATTTTAATGACTTTTGAAATCAACAATATACAGCCTTCCACTGAAATCAGAACTAGTTTTACAGTGAATATCAAGTAGACCACATCCACAAGGCTTATGATTGATTATCCTTGTGCATCTGATCTCTCAAGCTGAACTTTCCTTAAAAGACAAGGTTGAAGAACAAATGAAGGCAGAACTCTTGTTTTATCTATCTGTGGAAATCAACCAAGTACGTGTGAGCCAAAGACTGCCTCAGTGTTAATCTCCACAACCTTTGGCAATTTTTTCTCCTTCCCATCAGCTTATAGCCTGGATCCCAAACCCTGCCCCAGCTCAGCTCTCTCCTATAATACTTCTATCAATCAATCTGAACTACCTATATAGGCACTCAAATGGCCCTCATATATGAACACCTCACAAATATTAATGGATTTATCCTCAAAACACTTCTCTAAGGTATCAAGTATCGGGGTAGCCGTGTTAGTTTGTATCCACAAAAACAACAAGGAGTCCTGGTGACACCTTAAAGACTAAAAGATTTATTTGGGCATAAATAAAAAAACACTTCTTCAGATCCAACTGTGGTTTTTTACCCACAAAAGCTTATGCCCAAATAAATCTGTTAGTCTTTAAGGTGCCACCGGACTCCTTGTTGTTTCTCTAAGGGAGGAAACTATTATCTTCATTATACATATGGTCAATAACATAGCCAAGAATTGAACCTGGATCTCCTGGTCCCAATTCAGTGTTTTAATCTCAAGATCACCATTCTTCATGGTTTTTACAATTTCTGCTTCACAATATAATGTTTGAAAGCATAGCAACAAAAGTGACAGAGGAGTAGACCTAAGCAAAAGGATGTGAGATGTGGACATGTGAAGAAAACAACATTATAGTCTTCAAATACATGGAGGGACCAATTTCTATCACAAATCACCAAATAGTAATGGGTTTAAGACAGAGCTGGGAAAAAGTGAAGGTTACATTACAGAAAAACTTGATAACTTGTTCTATTGCAGAATCATTTTTACAGTTAACAAGGAAGATTACAGAAAAGAATGAATTAGAAAATAGCAGGTACTAAAGACCTCTTTAATACAGTGGGGAACTGGGAGCCTGGTGTGGAGCCCAGGCAGCAGATGGGTTCCAGCTGGAGCCCCGCCCCAAGTCCTGGGGTGACAGCCCAGCTGTGAGCCCTGCAGGGTTCACAGCAAGGAGCTTTTCTTGTCAATTTCACAGCTCCAGTGCCTAGCCATGAAATTGACAAGAATGACAGCCAACAGCCAAGGTAAGTAAGATAGTGTCTACACAGTTACTGTATCAACCTAACTACACTGAAATAAGCCCTATGCCTCTCCTGGAGGTGGAATTATTAGGTCGGTGTAGTAGGGCACTTACACTGGCAGGAGCAAGCTTTAGCGTACACACTGACATAACTAGATCAATGTAAGCTCCCTTAAGTTGCCCTAACTCTATAGTGGAGATTGGACCGTAGCCTGACAAAGAAACAGCAGAGAGACAACAAATGGATTCTATGACAACTTTGCTGGGTGGTGCACTGGCTTGGCCAGAATGGACTATGTCTTAACCTTTGCTTCTCTATGGTGCTTGCTAACCTAAGAACTTCCAAATAGATCCTACTCTCTTTTGAGTAGGGCTGCCTGGCTGAGGTGCACTGGTCCCTGAGAAGTGTAAAAGTCATGAATCTATCTCAGTTGGACTCACTGGGCAGAGTTCACAATATGAAACAGGTGTACCGGAGCCCAGAGGCTCAGTCTCAGAGGCATTGAGGTCCAGTGACCTATCTTTAAGGAAGAGTGGGATCCATGGGGGATCTGGTACGCAGAAGAGGCTCCTCCAAGGAACTATTTAAAAACTGGGGTGCAGCACAGATACTGGGTCTGTGACCATCATCTAATCATCTCTTCTTGCCTTAAGAATCTATTAAACACATTCACTGAAGTTTGACATAAAAGGGATGACATACTGGAGGAGATCAATAGGGATCAAGACATTACAGGGATCTTCCACCAGAACCCCTTTTTCGCCCCTGACAGTGTTCACGCCTGTTATTTCAAGCTGACCAGGGCTGTTTTTTTTTAGGCTTAGTTACACCATAGCATATATTTGTGTGAGGTTACAACGTGTCCGGGAAGTACACTGGATAGTTTTGATCAAATTTACATTCCATTATAAGCTGGCCCTCCTCCCCCTTCAGGTACTACCCAGTTAATATTCTGGCTTGGGTCTTTAATATCACATGTTTTACAGTGGACACAATTCTGAGCATTTATCTGCAACCGTAACCCTTCTCCAGTTTCCAGGGAAACATATTCATAAACACCTGCAGGACAGAATCTCTGTTCTGGCCCATTGTATATAGCTAAATTTTTGTTCACAGGGACACTGTCATCCTTCAGAGTCAAATGAGGAGGCTGGTCATGTTCATGATTTGTCCCACTTAGAGCCACAGAGGACAGGAGATCAAAACTGATTTTTCCATCAGGCTTTGGATATTCAATAGGAGTACAATCTTTGGCAGGCTTTAGCTGATCAGAGTCTGGTCCTGGATGTTTTAATGTCCATGGTTCCATTCCTCTCAGTATCCAATAAAATATACCAGTATAAATCATTCCTCCATAGACACCCAGTACTCCATGGCAGGAAGGTCGGATATTCCTAACAGAATAGAGCTCTTTCCACACCCAGGATTTCTTCAAGTTTTCTTCATATTCAGGCACATCAATTCCTACTGTCTTCGATTGGAGGTTCTCATTAGTTAGTTGGTTGAAAACAGCTTCTGAAGCCAACATGCCACTTTTCATTTCAGTGTGTGTACCTTTGATTTTAGGAACATTCATGAAACGAGGACTGCAACCAATTAATACTCCACCAGGGAAAGTGAGTTTGGGTATAGACTGGAAACCACCTTCATTCAAGGCTCTAGCACCATAGCCAATCCTTTTTCCACCCTCAAAAGTGGGCTCCACACTGGGATGATGCTTCCATCTCTGGAACTCTTTAAATGGGCTCAAATAGGGATTTTGATAATCTAAACCAACCACAAACCCAAGAGCTACCAATGATTCACCTTCATTTGAATGATAAAGAAATGATCCTCCATATGTATGTCTGTCCAAGGGCCAGCCCACAGTGTGTTCCACTCTTCCTGGTTTCCATTTCTTTTCATCAATAAGCCACAACTCTTTCAGTCTGATACCACAGCTCTGGGGTTGACATTTCTCCCTTAGATTGTATCTGTTGTACAATTGTTTGGCAAGATGTCCATGACAACCTTCTGCAAAGAACGTGACTTTGGCATGTAGCTCCAAACCTCTTTCAAAGATAGCTTTAGGTGCTCCATCCTTTTGAATGCCTACATCATTAGTGGCAATCCCTTTCACACCGCCATCTTCATGAAAAAGAACCTCAGCTGCTGCATAGCCTGGATACACCTCAACACCCAAAGCTTCTGCTTGCTCACCCAGCCAATTCACAAAGTGCCCCAGGCGCACTATATAATTCCCATGATTAGTCATTGGAAGGCCTGGAAGAATTGGCACTGGAATTCTTCGTTAAAATCCCAAATTTGTCTTCAGTTACTGGAGTCTGAAGTGGAGCCCCTCGCTCCTTCCACCCTTATCAATGGCTCCATGTCTAGTTGGCAGCCGGTATCAAGTGGAGTGCCCCAAGGGTCGGTCCTGGGGCCGGTTTTGTTCAATATCTTCATAAATGATCTGGAGGATGGTGTGGATTGCACTCTCAGCAAATTTGCGGATGATACTAAACTGGGAGGAGTGGTAGATACGCTGGAGGGGAGGGATAGGATACAGAAGGACCTAGACAAATTGGAGGATTGGGCCAAAAGAAATCTGATGAGGTTCAATAAGGATAAGTGCAGGGTCCTGCACTTAGGACGGAAGAACCCAATGCACAGCTACAGACTAGGGACCGAATGGCTAGGCAGCAGTTCTGCGGAAAAGGACCTAGGGGTGACAGTGGACGAGAAGCTGGATATGAGTCAGCAGTGTGCCCTTGTTGCCAAGAAGGCCAATGGCATTTTGGGATGTATAAGTAGGGGCATAGCGAGCAGATCGAGGGACGTGATCGTTCCCCCTCTATTCGACATTGGTGAGGCCTCATCTGGAGTACTGTGTCCAGTTTTGGGCCCCACACTTCAAGAAGGATGTGGATAAATTGGAGAGAGTCCAGCGAAGGGCAACAAAAATGATTAGGGGTCTGGAACACATGACTTATGAGGAGAGGCTGAGGGAGCTGGGATTGTTTAGCCTGCAGAAGAGAAGAATGAGGGGGGATTTGATAGCTGCTTTCAACAACCTGAAAGGGGGTTCCAAAGAGGATGGCTCTAGACTGTTCTCAATGGTAGCAGATGACAGGACGAGGAGTAATGGTCTCAAGCTGCAGTGGGGGAGGTTTAGATTGGATATTAGGAAAAACTTTTTCACTAAGAGGGTGGTGAAACACTGGAATGCGTTACCTAGGGAGGTGGTAGAATCTCCTTCCTTAGAGGTTTTTAAGGTCAGGCTTGACAAAGCCCTGGCTGGGATGATTTAACTGGGAATTGGTCCTGCTTCGAGCAGGGGGTTGGACTAGATGACCTTCTGGGGTCCCTTCCAACCCTTATATTCTATGATTCTATGATTCCAGTCCGGTAAGAGTTCTTCCAAAGCTCGTGGCTCAAGACAAGCACCAGAAAGTGTATGTACACCGATCTGAGCAGCCTTCTCCACCAAGCAAACACGAACTTCTTTGCCATACTCATTGGCTAACTGTTTAAGTCGAATAGCTGCAGAAAGACCCGCAGGGCCTGCTCCAACTATAACAACATCAGCTTCTTCTGCAAATCTTTCCATGTTCACCCCTTCCCATCGTTTGTCTTTGTTCCGAGAATGAATAGTATAGTGTGTAGTGATTCGAGGCACAGAGGAAGTAGAAGCCCATCTTGCAATACACAAAGGCGGTAGAATGTCTTCCTTTACTGACTTTAAAGCACGCAAACAATGATGTGCTTGGCTGGAGAGCGTGCAGAGCGGCAGTGGCATGGTGCCTGCCTGGTCGCCCCCGGGGACGGGGCAGCCTCCCCTCAGAGCCGGGACAGGGGGCGAACGCTGCCACTGCCCGCTATGCACAGCCCGCCCCCCAAAGCGCCCGGGGGTCCCCCGCTCTGCCTTCCCCGAGCGCCCGGGCTCGGGAGCTCACGGTCAGCCTGCCGCCGCGAGCCCACACACAGCCCCGGCCAATGGCACTCACCCCACACAGCACACACCCGCAGCTCTCGCCACCCTGTCCCCGCCCCACTGCGCCTGCGCACCAGGCTACCTGCCGGGAGACCTGACCAGGGCTGTTGCATAGGTCTTGTTTCCCTAAGGTGACAGTGGGAAGTTTGGTTTTAACCTGGCACATGCACCTTGCCTTGATAAAATTACTGAGAGGAGCCCTGGGCATTCAGATACACTAGGGTGATGGCCTTAGATACCACAGACAATAATTTAGATTGCAATCCAAGCAAAATGTCTCAAAAGCACAGTTCAGTGTAGAAATGCAGACGGGATCAGCACGGAGCATTTGGATCAAGCAGGACAGAGGGAGATGTGAGCCTGTGTGGCTTTTTGGGGGTGGGAGGGGTGGAGAGGTTATCTTCTCCTTCCCACCAACCTGCACATCTAAAATTAGTCAGGGAAATCAATAGTAAAATAGATTTCAGAGTAGCAGCCGTGTTAGTCTGTATTCGCAAAAAGAAAAGGAGGACTTGTGGCACCTTAGAGACTAACCAATTTATTTGAGCATAAGCTTTCGTGAGCTACATCCGATGAAGTGACCTGTAGCTCACGAAAGCTTATGCTCAAATAAATTTGTTAGTCTCTAAGGTGCCACGAGTCCTCCTTTTCTTTTTAGTAAAATAGAGGTTTAGCAAACCCCACCCAGCCTCATCCTCCAGCTGGCCTCCTGATCCCTAGCTGGGGGAGACAGGCACCCACACAACCTGCCCCCAATCAAGAGAAGCAAGTCTCAGGGGCAGCCACCCCATCCCCCATGTCCTTGTCTGGGCACACCCGATACATGGGTCTAGAAGGGGGAGCGGACAACCCCCTAGGACAACATGTCGGTATCCACAGGGGAGCCAGCACCACCCCTCCATAGAACGGTATCCCATGGGGCCAGAGGGAAGAGCCGGCAACGCCCCCCATAGATCGGTATCCCGGGAGGGGGCCCGAGTGGGGAGCCGGCACCGCGATAGGTCGGTATCCCAAGAGGGGGAGGGGCGAGCGCGGGCCCAGCCACTCACGGGGGAGGGGGCAGAGGGGGCACGTACCTCAGCGCCTCAGTCACACGCTCCTGGCGGCCCGTTCACAAGCGGTACCGCGCCGAGCCGGTGCTCCGCGCCCCTCCCAGACCCCGCCCCTTCCCGGATAAGCCCCGCCTCCTCCCGCCTATTGTTTGGGCACTTCCTGTGCCCCGCTCCCTGCCCCCAATGGCCAGCGACGCTGTCCGTCAGGTGTTGGGGAAGCGTGGTCACGGGCGGGGCGGAGAGGGACGCGTGCGCAGTCGGGAGAGCAGGTGACGGGCGCGGGCTGGGTGTTGCCATGGTGCCGCGCGCAGCTGGGCTCTTCAGGCTCGCAGCCACCCTCCCCGGCCTGAGCCCTGCCTGCTCCTAGCCCTGGCCGGCAGCCGACCTGTGCCCCGCCCCGCCCCCCGCACGGCCTGCGAGCTCGTTGGGGGGCAGGGGCTAGCCTGGGGCCTGGGGCATCGCCTCAGCCTGGGGCTGGAGGCCAAGCGGGACGCTGTCAAACGGTGGGCGCGGCTCTGGCCCTGCGGCTGAGTCGTTTCCAGCCGAACCCAGAGGCGAGTTACAGTTTTGGGGGGTCCTGGGCCAGAGCCAGTGGGGCGCCAGGCGGAGCAGGTCAGGGTGCCTGGGCAGGGGCCCTGCTGGCCCAGTGGCGAGTCCGCCACTGGCCGAACCAGCTCCTCACAGCCATGCCCAGAGCAGCCCCCTCCAGCAGCATGGGCCCCCCAACTCCACTGCCCCAGGGCAGGGCTACGCACCTAACTCCTTTTAACAGACACCTGGATAAAGATATGGCGGGGTTGCCTTCGGGTGACCAGACAGCAAGTGTGAAAAATCAGGACTGGGGTGGGAGGTAATAGGAGCCTATATAAGAAAAAGCCCCAAATATCAGGACTGTCCCTATAAAATAAGGACATCTGGTCACCTTAGGTTGCCTGCACTAGCAGGAGCTTGGACACATCCCCCCGGTGTGCCATACATGTAAACCTTGGGGCAATGGTAGGAACATCAAAGAACGCTTTAGCACCGTAGGTATGAAGTGGTCTCCTTTTCTTTCTCACTCTGCTCACACAGCAGTGCTGTGGACTTCCTTGCTGCAGAAATTGCAGCTTCTCCGTTATTCTGTGCCAAATTAGCAAGATGTCTCAAATGGTAGACTCCATTTGATTTGCTGAGTCTAAAGACAGATTTTTTTCCAAATAGCAGATAGGGATGATGCAGAATCACATCCAGTTAAGGCGTGTACAGCAGGAAGTATCTCGCAGAAGTCAGAAGTGAGCGTGTCACAAATTGCATGCACAGGTACAATAGGTGCTGTGATTGTTCCTCCCTTGCCAGACTTAAATATGGTCGTCTTGGCCGTAGCAGGGGTGCCAGATATCTTGACTGGCCTGAAGAAGCTACATGCCCCCTAAGAATAAAGTGCACGTCTCACAATTCTCTCCATTTGTTCTTCACCAACATCTGCTATTTTCAGCAGAGACTCTTGTAACATCAGATGTTATATGCAGTCCAGTAGATATGTTGATAAGCACCCCTGGATGTGATTCGGGGTCAAATGAGTTTATCTTATTGTTGATGACATGGTTGGCAAGAGCTGTTACCTGCTTTTCATCCCTCTTCAATGCAGAGGCAAGGACTTGTTTGTGGACTGTGTCTTCACTACTTCTTGTTAGGTGACTTCTTTCTCATAGCTTTTGCATATTCACTCAGGACATGTCTTGTGGGGGTCCATCTAACAAGGGCTGGATTCTTTTTTGTCAGTCCTACGATCCCACTTCTGCCCTTTGAGTCTTTGAAGACAGTTTTCTTTGTTCCCTAGGGTGGCCAGGTGTCCCGTTTTTATAGGGACAGTCCCGTTTTTTGGGACTTTTTCTGATATAGGCACCTATTACCCCCCACCCCCATCCCACTTTTTCACAGTTGCCATCTGGTCACCCTACTGTTCCTGCATCACTCCAAATGCCACTGAAAGAACCAGGTGTCTGACATACATTCCCCTGACTCAAAGGCATCATGTACTTCCTCAAGGAGATTTAACATACCAAGAATGTAGACTGATATCCATATGGCATAGTCGGACCTGCCTGCAGTATGGAACACTGTGCGTGTAAGGCATTAAGAAGTTGAAATGAACTTAAACAGTAAAAATTTCTAGTCATAGTCACGTTGCAATGTTTCTGGAACTGTGCAAAAAATGCCTCTCTCATTTTGGGTACTATATTTTCACCTCACCTGCAGGTTTACGGCACCATTGGACAGCTCCACATCATACCACACCTGAACATATATAAAATAAGCGTTCAAACTATATAAGATGTGGGTGTGTGTAGGGTAGGCAGATTGAACTCCAAAAATATGGCAACTTTTCAGAGAATTGTCACATACCTGTACAGGCAGGGAACTGTTCACCCTGGAGATACCCTAGTCAGAAGGGAAAGAGACCAGAGGATTGGTCTCCACCCAAGAGAAGTGACAGCCAAAGTAGTCGGAAACCTGAGGGTGAGTGCCCTTGCTGGACCACTGAACGGAACTACATGTGCAGTTATCCTGAACCGTGACATATGTTCTTCTGAAGGCAGCTGAGGCAGGACTAGGATATTCTCAGTTAAGAGGTCTAGACTTCCAGAGGAGCACTGGTGAATGCAGTGTGACCTGTAGGAAATGCTGCCAATGGCATTTAAAACAGGAACTTGTCCCCCTTTCCCCCACACACACACTTTTGCCTCTGCCCTTCTCTCTTCCCCAAACCCAAGCAGAGCTGCCTACAACTTGGCATAGGAAGAGAACCAGAGGATCAATAGACTCCACTCGGGACGTTGCTATTGTCAGTCTATTTTAAGTAGAAGGTGCTCAGGTCCAGACCTCAACAATATATAGGCACCTATTTCCCATAGAAATCCCTTTGAGGATCTGGGCTGCAGATATGACTATGATGGGTAGCAGGACAAACCCTAAAATGGACAGAATTATATAAATTGAGTCAAAACTTCCTGATTTGGATGAAATCTGACAATTACAAATTCCTCTAAAGTCTTCAGAATTTCAGGGGGGAGGGAGAGTTTTCCTGAAGAGCTCGAAACCTTTTACACAAACATGAATCCCTGTGAGGAAGCAAAGTGTCACTGCCCATTTATGAGTTTCTGTATGCGGTGATTTCAAACACAGAGAGCAGTGGATTTTGTTCCAAACATCTTAGTTTTTTTGTTCATGAGTACTCCAAGGCTGTCAAGGAAATGCAAGTGGCTACTGATTCTTTTTTTTCAGTCACTTTTGGGGCACTATTTTCTGTGCAAAGCCCTCGGCACCACCATTTGAGAATGATCAGTGGTAAAAATTGCAGATGATAAGCTATTGCATATTAAGCCAAACCCTGGACCCTGAGCAAAGCTTAAGTAAAAGTTGTGTTCTGGAAAACAGTGTATGTTGGAAGGGGTGACCTGATTTCATGCCAGGGCCAGCCCCACTGGAAACTGAACTGTAGCTGGGAGAATAGCTGGAACAACCTAGAACTCTCTTCTTCATCCAAGCATGAGATTACTAGAGTCTGTACTATGCACAGACTGAATGAACGCGCCCTTTATATGCCCCCAGCATAACCAAATTTACCCACCTCAATGGTGAGTCAGAGATGCATCACTAAACTCCCCTTAGCACATAGCGTTGTGTCATCTCTTGTCCTTTTGCACAGCAGGCTCACTCCCTGTGACCCTTCCATTGGCACACAAACATCTATCTATATAAACATTATGGCAGAATCAGGAACAAAAACAAACAATTGTGTGGCCAGGGTTTTGCCCACTACAATGAAAGCAAGCTGTTCCTATCTGGCGCATGCTCATGGAGTTTAATTATTTATTAATAAGTTATTAGTTGTATATTTCACACTTACACTTCTGCCTAGTTACTAGTAATTTGCAATGGCAGGAGGAAAGGATTGTACATCATCCATTCAAAGCCAGATTCTGTTCCCTTGCGTGGGGGGATGCCTTACTCTGTGAGGTTTATTTCAATGATCTACTCATGCAGTAACGCACCACGCAGCTGAGGGACAGTGGGAGAATATGGTCCTCTGCCATTTTACCTATGTTTCTGTAAACATGGAGGACTGGTGTTCTGTTGATATCTGAACACATTCAGTGCTGGGGATTATAATATAAGACATGGATGTTGTTTTAAACATTCATTTTTGTAGAGTCTGTGCCTTATTTGATATTCTGAATTATTAAAGCACAGATTGACAAATGAAAAACTATGGGTCCAACATTAGTGCACAACTTGAATGTATCTTGGAAATGTGTTTTATTGATCTGATTTGTATAAAATGTGACATCAGTACCTAGAAATTGACAGATTGGCTCAGACCCAGGGTCCATCTAGTCCAGTATACTGTCTCTGACAGTGGCCAGCAACAGATGTGTCAGAGGAAGGTGCAAGAAACCTTGCATTACACCGATGTGGGATAAAACTGTACACAAGCATGTGGTTAACAAAACCTACTTAGGTGCCTTTAGGCAACTGTGTTTTTCTGTCTTGTTAAATATTGTGACTCTTAAGCCTATGGTGGTACCACCGATTCATAGCTATTAAACTATGAAGGTGGTAGGTTGATAAACACACCTTGGTGGTGGTCAGTGAATATTCATCCTTCAGCAACAAAATGAAGCCTCCTCCTCCTGGACTAAAGTGGTACCTGGCAAGCTTATAGTTGTCAGGACTGTCCACTAGAGGGAGCCATTGGCGCACATTAAGCCAGCACGCTGCATTTATCTGTTGTTACAAATAGCTGGAAAGGGGGTAATGTTTTCTTGATGGGAAATGCTTTGGCTGCTTGAAATTAATATATTGTGGTGATTAATGATAATCAAAGGAAATTAAGAATAGGCAAGAAGTTCAGTAATTCCACCAAAATGTTTAATACCATATTAGATTTCCACTGAAGTACAGAGCTAATGTATTTGTACAAAATATATGATTAAAAATAGTATTGATTTATAATATGTACAGATATGTCACATCTTTGTCAGCAATCCAGACACTTGAATAAGGAGAACATGGTTAATGGTCTCAGATCCACAATAACATACATGAAAGGCTTCTGCAGCTAATCACAA